AAATTTGGAGTACGAAAGTGTCATAAATACTGACATAAACGCATCTAAACTATTATTTATACATATGCAAGAAAACAACAGATGTGATCGTATCGAGTGTTAAGTATATACTGGCATAATTGTGACATCTTACTTTCTATCATTACTTATCAACAAGGCGAAACTATAACAATAAGTTTAAAATGAATGTCACGGACAATTCGAAAATGAATAAAACACTTGCAAAAATAACGTACAGAACAGAACAATTATTTTCTAATTTAGAGTCCATAACAGACAAGTATGAAATTATTACAATAATAAGCAAAAGATATGCCAATGGATAGTATAACAATTTGTAAATGACATTGTTCATTTCAACAATAATATTGTACTATTTCAGTTAAAGGGAATACTATATATAAAAGTGTATCCATGGCTACTACAACATGTTATCATTTACGAACACGTATCCAAACATATGCCAAAAGCACAACCATTAGAAGAAAACATAGTAATTATATCATAACAAAAATTGCATAAAAATAGAAAATTGTGGAATTTATGAAACTCGGGGGTAAAGTAGCAAACGTATTAAGGTTTAGCCGATCGCGCAGGATAAAAATAGAAGAAAACAGATGCTGGGCAGGAGTTCAGGATGAACTTTTCACCGCTGATAATTAGCTCCATGAGGTTTGCTATTTGTTTGTAGATTAAGAACTTGTTTATAAGATACTGGCTTGGTCAAGAATAAGGGTGTAACCAATCAAAGAGGTTGATGCGAGGGAGCAGAGGTCATGCATCTGTATAAATTATCTACAGTAAATAAAAAGTCAAGATTATGCAAAAAGTTTAACAAGAATTTTAAGGTGCAATTAAAGATTAAAAGAGGGTCGGATAAGATTAACTTAAATTCAGAGCAAAATTAAAAGTCATTAGTGCAAATTTTGAAGAAATACTCAAATATGCAGGGCATGTACGGGGGTATAAATGTAGCGCAGTGAGACATATCCAGCCGGTGGTCTGCTGGATTTTGTCTCTTTCTGGTTGCATTTATACAGGTAAGATATTTTTATAGACTTGCGCGATTTTTGTAAGATGGTTAAAATGTTCAGATGGCTTAATGTATTTACAGGTTAATATATTTTATGATCTGATAGAAATGTTTCGTATTTATCATAATGTTTATTATATTGTGTATTGTGTAACTTTAGTAATTGTAAATAATTAGAATGTATGTGTTAATTTAATAAAGGGTGGTCTGCTGGATTTTGTCTCTTTCTGGTTGCATTTATACAGGTTGGGTAACAGCTAGGACCACTCCCCATAACCTGTGATGCGCTATGGACAGGAAGGGAGCATATCCTAGGAAGAGTAGATTCACACTGGAACGTCATTTTGAGAAATAAAGGAATATTAATAATCCAGCTAACTTGGGTCAATCTGGTCAAGACCAGGGGATTGTAAGAATTGTTCCCCTAGCTGTGTCTAAAAACCTCTCACAGGCAAAAGCGCACAACGATCCCGGAGTTGAAAATCAATTTATTCAATGACCAGAGAAATTCTAAGACCAAAAACAATATATTCGAATTAAACGAAAATCCCCCACAACCCACAACATATATTTTTTTTTATATGAAAATTATAATAAAGCAGAATCTCGTGCAGCACGAGCTGCACATGTGTCTGTCGTATGCAATGTAAATACACAGTATATACCATCAATTTCACAAGTAAAAGTTTACTTTATGAATACTGAATCAAATGACATTAAAGAGGTGAGAACCTCGTTAGTGGTTAGTACTTGCGTGCAAAACCTTTTGCATTATGCCAAAATAGGTTCAAATGAAATTAAATGATAAAAATATTCATTTAAAAAGAAAGGAAACACAGATTTAAAAACAGGAACTGCGCACGTAGTTCTAACCATGTATATTTATTCGAATTTATTAGAAATGGGTATAAAATTTAAAAAAAAATATTCATTTAAAAAGAAAGAAAACACAGATTTAAAAACAGGTACTGTGCACGTAGTTCTAACCATGTATATTTATTCGAATTTATTAGAAATGGGTATAAAATTTTAACATTCTAAAATATTGAACTACTGAATTGAGATAACAGGATTAGAAACAGCTCAAGGGTACATCAATAGTTAAAAAACTAGAGCCGAGCTCGTTGCAGAGCAACGAATAGGTCTTCCGTTGGAGCAGTGACCTTGAGTCAAGGTCATGCCATATTCTAAGATGATAAATAATCTTTTAAGGGACTATCAACTTGCAATGCTTCGCCAGTAGAAAGACAATAAAATAATTTACACTTTCTATTTCGTGACCTTGAACTTGTCCAGATGACCTTGCGTCAAGCCATGACACACCATGACGCAAACCTATCTGTGTTACCGACTTGACAAGTTAACACATGTTCTTTCAGACCACACATCCAGTAAAAGCATCTTGTTCTTAGTGACCTTGAACTTGAGTCAAGGCCATGAACCAGTCTGTATGATACCAACAATACCCATTCTGAGTGTTTCCAACTTGACAAGTTTACACATGTTTTTTTTTTCATTTCATTTCCATATAGTTGTAATTTATTACTTTTACCTCGCTGGCTTCAAATTTTATTGTAAATATGTTTTATGTCCAATTTCGATATTGAAAAACGTCGACGTCTTTGGGTACGTGTACAAGGTGCATTACGTTACCCTATCACATCATGTTTTATAACGCAAACCATACATGTACATATAGTCAGCGTTATAAAAAGGTTATAAAAAAAACCCATTTTATTCATCAAAAATCTGTGCTTAATTATCTTTGCCGATTTCTTACAGAACTACAGTGTTCCCAGGAACGCATGTGTCGCCTGCTTTTAGCTTCATTAAAGATGTAACTAAGTCTAAAAGTTATCAGCTATTTATTTGCTACGGCAGTGAATATAGTTCATGCGAAAAGAAAAAAAACAATCCAGGGATAGTAAGATTGCGATAGAATCTAACAATCAAATAGAAATGCAAATCCTTAACCCCTGAAAGCTAAAATGGATATTAATGAAATTTGAATAAATTTATTATAAATAATTATATATAAATTAATTAATTACGTGATTTCAACAATCCATCGAAAGAGGCTTCAGTCTATCATATCAGCAATTGTCAGTCTACACCATCTAGCTGCAATAATGTAGCCCTCTCCGATTTTTTTTAATCTGATATTTTCTGGAGAGGGCTACAATTCCACAGCATCTCTGTAATGGTGCAAATATATTTTTTAAATACGGGCGACTGCAGGCAAAATAAATTGTTTTTACATTCAACTTACTTCTAAAAAGGTGAAATTTTTATTCACTGTCAACAACATAGCCCGTTAAACGCGAAAACCAGATAAAATAAATCTGCTTGTTTACCAGTCGCTCTCATCAGAAGCCATGACAGTTCTCGCGTGATGCACTGAGACTTGCGTTTGAAAATTATAAATTACTTTGTAAAGTAGATTTTCGGGGTTACTAAATGATTGTGCTGTATGGCATCACTAAATATTGATAAAAAAAACTATTCCATGTGACATTTTTTCGTAAACAGCGATATTTATGCCTAAAATAAGGTAATTCCTACAGAGATCCGCTCCCTAGAGATCCCTAGTCTCATTGGCTGTCCCAAAATAAAATCGATCAAGGTCAGTAAACATGGCGGATAAATTCAAGTTGTGATGTTGACATACACGAAAAATAACCGATATAAGGATTGTTCTGTGTATGTTTGGATTGATTTATGTTTTGCATAACTACATTTTTGGAGTTCAGGTAAGAAATGTTAATTAAATAGCCATTTACTGATAATTTAAGCCGAAATCCGTGCGGGAGTGAATCACTCCCGCACTTGCACCATTACGGAGATCCTAAGGAGTTGTAGCCCTCTCCCCAAAAAAAAAAAAAAAAAAAAAAAAAAAAAAAAAGGGGAGAGGGCTACATTATTGCAGCTATACACCATCCATTTTGGAATACCGATCCCGTTGTATTTTCATAGTACTTAATTTCAGTTTTTGTGGTTTCTTTATTTCATACAGTGTCAAAACACATTGTCATGAGCTCATAAACATATATAACTGTTAATTATCAAACCCTGCCTCTGTAATTTCAAAAGACATAAGTTAAATTTAACCCTCCGCAGTACATATATATATATATATATATATATATATATATATATATATATATATATATATATATATATATATATATATATATATATATATATATATATATATATATATATATATATGGTTTAGTTTTTATTTCATCTTCTTCCTCACATATGACATGCGAAAACTTGACGACATAATACACAAGCACGAAAAGAAAATAAATACTAAATTTAAAAAAATATATATAGATAGATAGATATGAAATGAAAAAGAAAGAAAAAAAAGAAAATAGTAATAAAAATTCAAAATATAATTCAATTAATTGTGAAAAATAGTTTAAAGTTCATTATTTTCAATCTGTGGGTTGCTCTTCTATACTGCCTAAACAGGAAGGTATGATACAATACAGAGTCTGTGTGGGTTTCTCACAGTTTCAGGGCAAACTGAGGATGTTCACAGGACGGAGAGATCCAGTTGGCATTCTTAAACGTGTCTAGGAAAAGTTCAAAATAAATCATCACTGAAATTTGTCTTTTCAAGCAAAATTTTCAACTTGAATCGTAACGTGAAACTTAGACATGCGAGTTTAGAGGCCTATTTTCCTGATTTTGAACACTACAAAGAGAACAATCTAAAAATGTAAATAGATAGAATGATAGAGAGGAATGTAGAGGTTGCGACTGTGCTCATATTTTGTGGTAAAGACCCTTCGTTGAGCTGCAGCGCGGATGCAAATACCCACATTGAAACACACATGCATGAACGAAAACACGTACGTCTCGACACACTGGATGTTTTCTAAGCGGTCCGCGCTCAGTGTAAACAAAAACAGCAAGTCCGTGTGACCCAAGTATTCCAGTGTTCACTGTTCCTGAGAAGTAAGTCGTCGTTTTACTCTTCTAAGTAGCCATGGCCGACACTGCTGCACCAGCAAAGTCTCCAGCCAAGAAGAAGGCCGCAAAGCCTAAGGTGCCTGCTGCACATCCTAAGTACATTGACATGATTAGCGCCGCCGTTGCATCTCTGAAAGAACGCGGTGGCTCATCCAGACAGGCCATTCTCAAGTACATCATGGCCAACTACAAAGTGGGCAACGATGTAAACTCTATCAACGCCCACCTGAAAATGGCCCTGAAGAGCGGTGTTAAGAAAGGTGCTCTGAAGCAAGCAAAGGGTACAGGCGCTAGTGGCTCCTTCAAACTTGGAGACAAACCCAAGACCGAGAAGAAACCTAAAGCCAAAAAGGTTGCCAAGCCCAAGGCAGCCAAGCCCAAGAAGGCCGCCGCCAAGCCCAAGAAGCCTGCAGGAGAGAAGAAGGCCAAGACTCCCAAGAAGAAGACAGCAGCCAAGAAACCAGCCGGACCCAAGAAGACCAAGACCCCCAAGAAAAAGGCAGCCCCCAAGTCTCCAAAGAAGGCAGCAGCTAAGCCCAAGAAAGCCAAGACTCCCAAGAAGGCAGCAGCCACGAAAACCAAGACCCCCAAGAAGGCAGCCGCCAAGAAATAAGCAGTCTTTGCATTCCAGACAGACTATCTACTTAAAAAAGCCCTTTTCAGGGCTACTTACATTTTTAGAACAGATACCTCAATTACGGTCGTTTACGATATTTATGATATCATTGAAGAGAAGGGGTATTCAATTATTGCTCGAAATAATTCAAATGATGAGAGCAATAATTGATTCGATGAGAGGATTTTTCAATTGGATTGTTATCCGCATTTATGATATCTTCAAATAATTAAAGATATTTTCAATTACAGGTATTTTTTATGTTAATTTTGCGCTCCACACCTTTCTTTCAGTCTCCCATATCCCACATGTATTAGAGTTATCCTAGCTTTTATTTGTTTTCTTTTGTTTTGTTATAACACTGCATCGGAGTTGGCAATAATGGATGCAGTTGGCCGATATCACAGACAATAGTTTCGACAAGATTTTCTTATTTTTCAATATTTTGGGTATTAAAGTAACTTCTATGTTTACCGGTCCTGCAAAAGGATTTCAAGTTTTTTTTCCTCACTTCACTTGTTGTCCCATTGTTGATTGCATGCATAGAATGGTAAACTTGTAGTTTTTTGTACTTCATATTTACTAGTATTTTTTTTTCTACGGTAAGTGATATTTTAAATGAAAAATGCAAGCCATATTTTTCCTATAAAATTCAGTTTTAAAATCAGAAAACAGTCCATTTCTTTTTTAAATTAAATTGATGGAGGTGGTGCGCCACAGAGGTCGAACTTATTGGTCCCCATGAGTGTGGTAATCCCTTGTCCTGTGCTGAAACATCCACACCTGTTGACTCCATCAAAACATGTGACATATTCTCCCTTCTTGATTATTCTATCTCCAGTTGTGCAGGTATCTGAATAAGATTGCATAATATTCTCACATTTTGACTTCTCCATAACAATCAAGCTAAGCCCTAGCTTGCATATTAACCCCTTCCCTCCGAAAATGGCCATCTACTAGTGATCAAATACCCAAGGGAATAACAAACTCACTGAAAAGTAAAGTTTACCGGTAAATGCTAGAATAAGAAGATTGAATATAAAGAATATACCCTTTTTCCCTGGGATATAACTATGATATTTCAATAAATGAGGAATACAAATATTCGAGCGGAAATGGTCAGTATTTTACCTGGACAGACAGGACAGGATTCTTCGGATTGCGTAACTTGTTCATCCTTGGGACAGTCGGGAGGCGGGCACTCCCAGGATTTACAGTAAAACAGATCATCCACGAAGTCGTGGGCACATTCTACATTCTTAGTCGGGAGATCCTTTTTGTCAGAGTAGACACTGCAATCATAATATTTTTCTTCCCCTGTCGACCCTAAATCTAAAATAAACCAGTAACAACTAAAACAAAATGTGTTTTGTGAAATTTGGTGCCCCTATAAGGCATGGCTAAGGTTAAAGTTTTTGTGGACAGACAGACATACGGAGGGACAGACAAAAAAATATATATATGCCCCGATTCTCCGATAACGGAGGCGTAAATATATAACATTCTTTAATATTAGATTCTTGCAATATAATATAAAACAGCATGAATCAACATTATTATCCATATTATTGACAAATATAACTAAAACCTTATAGGCCATGTGTTATTCTTTTAAACGCAAGATCAAAATGTCTTTTAAAGACAGCCTGGGTAGTTCTCGCTTGATTTATAAATTTAAAAAGAAATTTCAAGATTTGAAGTTTTCTGTAACTTTTAGTTGAAACCAAGATACTTAGCATATAAGTATAAGAATGATAATAAAAATAGCACCTTTTGTTTGTAAGATGATTTTTTTTTATTTTTCATTTACTTACCCGGCCGCTCTGGACATAAGAGGAAGTACTTTCACTTGATTTAATTACCCGCTATGGGCAGAAGAGAGAGTACTTGTATTTTCACTTGATTTTCTGGCATAAGAGAGAGTACTTTCACTTGATTAACTTACCCGCTCTAGGCTTAAGAAAATTTTCACTTGATTTACTGGCATAAGAGAGATTATTTTCATTTGATTTATTTACCTGCTCCGAGCACAAGAGAAAGTATTTTTACTTGATTTACTTACCTGCTCCGAGAACGGTTGCAATTACGCACAAAGGGAATGTATCCATTAGCTTCATATTCTGAAACAAAACATTTTTATATCATTATATTTTTGAATTGAAGATAATTATTACAGAGAGGACTTTACCCTTTAACAATGCTTACATCGGTTTGAGTGGACGATGTACGGCTGTTGTATTGATTAATTTGGACTGGAATCATGACGAGTTATTTTATACGAGTTCAATTAGCAGATGTACTTGACAGAAAGTGAAATATATGTAGAAGGTCAATCAATTAATTGCAATGTGCAACTATAGTTCACCATATTTTTAATTAACCCGCGTGTAAATTATAGGATGAGTAACATTTGTGAAGTTGAAAGCGTGAACCTTTGAACTTTGATTATATTACACACCATTACAAAATATCAACGCAAACTATGATTTTTTTTTAAAACAAGTTTTAAATTATACTTAAACCCATATGGAATAAAATAATTTAAAGTCATATGTGTCGTATTCTTTGATAAGTTCAGACTTACTAAATTTAAAAAGCTCTTTCTATTTGTTTTATTAGTTTATATAAAGATAGGAGTTTCCTGTAAATTACACAATTTAAATCAATCGCGTTTCATAGATATAAGAAATTTAAAACAATAACCGATTTATTTACTGACTCCGCATTTAAATATCAGACACAGTTTAAAGTCAATTTAACTACAGAAACGTTCAAAATCGGTGAGAATTTTAATTTGAACGTAAATAACAAATATTATGTTCATCTACACTATATAAATCTCGTTTTTATTTATTTATTTATTTTTTAGCTCAGATACGCCATATATAGCTTTAAAATTCATCGCCCATGAATAGATGTACAAGTATTCTGAAGCTCATTTCTAAATATACATGTACACTACACCATTAACGAAATGATTTCCACGTAAGGGAACTTTGAACGAGAAAAAAAAATAATTCCAAGAAACGGACAAGCAAACCCTGTAAAGAAGAAAAAAAAAGCACGCGCAGCAGAAAATTTATTTATTTAGTAAGTTATTTATTTAGTAATTATTATATACGTAGTATTTATGATGATTTAATCAAGGTATAAATGAGAATATTAAACATATCCACAAATGTGTATTTAGGTACATTATAAGCCCATATTCATATGATTCAGTTTTTTTTAAATCTGGCATTACTGTTTAAAGGACTAGGTGTGTCAGGGAGACATAAATGCCTCTACTGATATGCAAGTTTTAAATATTTGAAAGTCCAAGTGTGACAATAAAAATTAGGTGGAATTGACACAAAAAATATCATACTGCTGCTTTTGTTTTCTGGAATCATTTGTCTACATGATCATCACAACATATTTAGGCTGCGTGAATGATGATCACTTAAATGTACAAGCCAAAAAATAAATAAAGGTCCAAACACAGCGAACAATTCAAAATTTTGAAAGTTCTAAGGGTCATAACGTTTGTAAAAATGGGTCAATCGGCCACTTCATGGCGGGGGCATGAAAAAACTTTATATAGTCACATAGAGAGCACCAAATTTAAATAAACACGAATAATTGAAAATATCTTCAATTCCTTTGATGCTCGCAACAATTCGACGAAAGATCTCTTCGAATAATTAATGACATCTTCAATTTCGAAGTATTTCGCGAATCAACTCTGAATTATTTCGCATTAATATAATTCAATTATTGATATCATTAATTAATTTGCTGAATTGGTGCGTGTAATAATTGAATATTTGCTCTCTTCAAATGAACAATAATTAAATTAATGCGCGTCGATAAATAAATTGTAGAACAACAGTTATTTTCAAATGATGAAAGACCCCCTCAAACATTTCAGTTGAAGTTAATTTGGTGCTCCATGCTTATGCATGTCATCATACCACAGTTTATCCTGCTGTTGCAATTACAAGTATATTGCTCTCTTCAATCGAAAGCATTAATTCAATTAATGCGCACAACTACTCTTTTATACAGAAAGGAACTATCTAATTAGTGATATCGTCAATTCAACATATCAATTAATTTAATAATGAATTATTGTTCTCTTTTAAAGTATTAATGTGCACATTAATGGAATTGATGATATTTTCAAATGATGAAGGACCTCTTCAAATATTTCAGTTGAAGTTAATTTGGCGCTCCATGCTTATGCATGTCATCATACCACAGTTTATCCTGCTGTTGCAAACATTAATTATGGTGTCTATACGGTATTCACACCACATACAATGATATAACTCACAGATGTATTATACTGATCACTCGAAAACATGTGGTATACGGAAAAGATGGACTCATGAAGTACAAAGAAAATGTTTACACATAATATAGGCAATCTGAATAAAATAATATTTAAATGAAAAATGAATTCTTTGTAATAATTCTGCGACACTAAGTTGTATACTGTCATGTTGTAAATTTTGAATTTACCCGGTGGCAGTAAATATAAAATTTACAACTTGTAAATTTTGTATTTACTGCCAACCAGTAAATTCAAAAAGAGATGGGCGAACAAGGCGAGGGCAATGCCTAAAGTGCCATAAACATAAAGGTGAAAAATTAAATCTTAATTATATCAAAATTTTCTTTGATGTTTCATCTAAAATTAAGTATACTTTATGTAAAATCTTCCTAGTTTGCAAAAATCTTACTAAGATTGAAATTATTTGCCTATGAAAAAGCATACACACATTAGAGAGTGCAAAAAGGATCATTTTCTCATACTAAAACACAATTCTATATATCTTTAAAAGTTTATCCTCAAAGTTTGCGAATAAAATACCGGTATACATTTTTTGGTCAATAAAAACATGGAGCAAAGACCCACTATACCTTAAAAATACACTCTTATGACACATTTGCATCTTTCCGAGAAATACTTTGTAGTCCATTTAGTCAAGGATCATATAATAAACATGATTTAAATGCAACAATTCATCAAGAGCTGTGTACATGTGCTGTAGTGGTTTGTCTGTTAGTCTCAAAGGAAAATGACACTCGGGATTTTTATTGCTAACCCCACGAATACCACATTATTTTCTTAATAACAGAATAATTTTTGCCGAGAAAATTTTGATCAGAAAAGTTTTGTTTATCATAATTTCATACATTTCAATAATGAGAATTTTACTCTAAATACTAAATTCACAAATAGATTATGATTTTTATATATCTGAAGCTACAGGCACTCTGCGCGTCTTGTTCACCCATCTCCTTTACAACATGACAATGCTACAAGTTACTCTCTCGTTACATAGTGATTCTGTAACATAAAACTTTCGAATCTGTTCAGATAAGATTGAAAACGTTCATTTGAAGAATTACACAATCATATTTGGGGAAAAAAATCAGAGAAGGTCGAAGTAACAAGAATTTTAAGGTAAAAAAAATATTTGTATGTTCTTCAAAATGCTTCACACATTAAAAATTTTAACAAAGGTAAAAAGGGGTGAATTGCAACTTTATCTCCTGAAATGGACGCAAAGATTCAGAACCCTCAATGAATAAAAAGAAATACTGCTCTTACAAGCAGGATGCATTTGATAACAATCAGCCAAGGGATAAAACCTTTAAATTTTTCTTCATCTGCCGTGCTTTCTAACATTTATTTATTTTTCCAAAACATATTGAACGGGACACAGCCTTACTAGCGATTTTGGAATGAAAATACTTTTTGAGATTTTCAATCTCAATTGAACAGAGTTTTGAGAATACATGCTTAGCGGAGTCAAGTCTGCAATGGTCACATCATATGAGAAATGAAGGTGGGGAAAAGCAACAGACTCCTCCTGAAGAGCATCCATTCATTACTATACAATTCGTATACAGTGTCCAATCTGTTTAACCCAACAGCTAGCATTGAATATACTCTTTATCACACAGAGTTTACGGGTGTTTACTTATCAAGAGTTTAGACCTGGCAGCTACTAAATAACGCAATTTAAATCGATTTTAAGGGTTACACCTGCGACTTCAAAGAACAATAGCAGAAAATGTTTAAATGCCAGTATTGAGGTTGTATTGCTATTTAAAATCAATGCCATCGAGTTCAACTTTGGTATTTTCATGGAGCAATTCTTTTTAAAACATAACAGTCAACCTTGTCATAAATGGCGTATTGGGTAGAATATGGCCCAACGTGTTGTGGACAACTTACAAAACGACTATCTCATCTGTAGTATTTGTCTAGGACGTTACAACGATCCCCGGCTTCTTCCCTGTGGACATACTTTTTGCAGACAATGTCTTTCTGATCATATAGACCAATCAGTTCGAAGTGCAAATGCGGATCATTTCAAATGTCCAAACGATCGTGGAGACGTCAGAAGACCAGGACCAAACGTACCTCTTCGTGAATGGGCTGACAAATTTCCAGTGGATACTTTCATCTCAAGCCTTCTTCAAGCTGTTCAACATCATGAACAGGGGCCACCCTCTTCAGAGCCAGAGGTCAATGCCAGACCTAGAAGAGGTCCCGTAAATCCTAGATCCAGGCCACAACAAACCCAAAGGCGAGGAAGAGGTCCTCAACAAAACCCACCACCACCTCCACCTCAGCATGAAAGTAATGGACTGACATGCTTGGAACACCCAGCAAGACAACTAGAATTTTTTTGCCTGGGATGTTCGATTCTTATTTGTTCCCACTGCGCAGTTCAAAATCACAGACGTCCCAGATGCGAATGCTTGTCTACTGAAGAAGCATTGAGAAGATTATCACCAAAATTAGAACATTTAAAGACCAAATTCCAAAATCAGCTCTCGTACATACAGGATTTGAATAGAAACGGAATGCCCTTCGATGCTGAACTGGAAAACAGCAAAGCACAAGCCTTTGATTATTTGTCTACTGTCGAAAACAAAATCAGCGAATTTACGCAACAGTGTCTTCGTGAAATTGAAAATTTAAAATCTACGGTGAGAGAAACTGGACAAAATATACCGAGGGAAGATGGCAACATGGCTTCACTGCTAAACAGACTACAAGAAACAAGGCAAGGTTATGAAAGCATTTTCAATGCTCCACCAGGTGCAAGTTTTTTAAGGAATTTAAACAAGTATGAGGTGCAAGCTGATACATATGAATCCGAAATAGAGAGAGCGGTCTCTAATAATCCTGTACCCCAGGTGGATCTTGTCACTAACGCTGCATTTCAAAACTTTTTAAGAAACCCACCACCAGTTGCCCGCATGGAGATCAAAGAGCTTACGACAGCGAGGCAGCCCCGGCAGCAAGGAAGAAGAGAGGCTACATTTACCATGTCCAACGGGCGGAGAAACCGATCTTCACGATAATTTTTTTTAATTTCATATTGAAGTTTAATTATCAATTCTTAATATCGTCTCTCCCTTCATTTAATATTTTAAAAAATGACAATGACATATAATGTATTTGAAGAAATGTACAACAATGTCTAAAAAATAATCTATAAATGATTTTTTCCCTTCCCTTGGGGACCATGTGTTGTTTCTTCCATATAGTGTGTTTTTGTCTATCACAAGTCATGTCTGGATATAACTTTAAATCCATCTTAAGAATTCAAAATTACAATTTCTTGTTTACTAGTGACCTTTTATTTGTGTCAGGATCATCTGTCCGAGGTCAAAGTCACTTGGTGTAACACATCATATTTTTTTTTTGAAAAGGAAATGCGTCACACTTAATGAATTTAAAGTAAATTTTATATTTACTATCGTGTTTAATATCATATAAGTGATTATTCGGGTAAAAGGTATTATGAAGTAACAGAGGAGACCAGCCAGCGAAGGAGACTTCCTAATCTTAGTCCTAACTTTAAGACGACGATGAGGGTGTCCTAAGACATATCTTAGGTGATTTAAGAAGCACCGCTGCCAGGAAAACAACTAGGAATTATTGAAAGCACACTGTTTATGTATTGAATCCAATAATTTTTGTAAAATATTAATTTCTTTTATGAGTTTAACCAATTTACTAAACATAATGTCGTGTCACTGTATATATGTATATGTAAGCATATACCTGAATAAAGGGAAATAGATGAAGTAATAATGTAATGAAATGTCAGCAAACGTACCAGTTATTAATTTGTTTTCTTCTTTTTTTTGTTGGGATGGGTTATAAGATGATGCAGTCCCATGCTAATACGAGTCGAGTCTCTCTCTCTTTCTCTATCTGAATTCACTGACCTACTCACTGAAAAATCTGGCATTTCCATTGATATTTTTTTTTAATCGGTTACGACAGTATAGGAAAATTATCATTCTGTCAGTAGTTATATCTCTATTAAAATTATTTAAGTACAAGTTTAGCATTTAATACGTTTGTATTGCACCAACCTGGTACATGTCTTGTAGACCTAGCCGGTGTTAATGATATAGAAAACACACCACAGAAAATATTTAAACAAAATACAAACGCGGATGAATGCGGACACTACCCCTCCTTTTCTCAGAGAGATTCCTGTTGATCATATGGGTTTAACAACGAGAAATTACCTATGGTTTGAAAATACAACTAATTATTAAATTTTCATCGGTCTCTATATGTGTATGATAAATATAATATTTTAGGTTTAATTTCAATACGTCACAATAGCGGTGTTGCATATTGGTATTCCCCCTTCAAACCTTTTTTTCCCTAAATTACTTATCCAGTAATACAAATACATGTATATGTGAATAAACCAACGTATAAAGTCTCGATTTTTAATTTGTTGATTTTTTGCTAGGTAGATTGTAGAGAAGTATCTCTGTTATATATACTATAGCTAAATACCTGAAAATGGCATAAGAATTGATTAAACTGCTACAAATGTAGCGGAAATCGATGAAATAACGCAATTACGGATTAAATGTGTGAAACTTACTAATACATATCATATGTGGATCCATGCATTTCTTCCGGGGGGAGGGGGGCACCCACTCAAAAAAATTCATACTCAGATATTTTTGACAATCAAGGGGAAAAAACACCTATCAACTTCTCAAAACCTGATAAACCTTTTCTTGTGTGTAGGGGGAGGGTGTGTGTGCTGGTGGGTGTTAAGTCGCTTGTCTTTACAAATATATAGAACATGTTCATGTATGTGACTTTCCTTGTCATTTTTACCAGGGGTCCATGTTTTGTAGGGGGTTACTTTACTATATACTTTTAATAACTCCAAAAAATCTCAGGGGACCGAACCTAATGAGTCACCCACCCACCCACCCCTTACATCCGCGCATGCATATGATGGCATATGGACATAGGAACAACATGTAATATTTGTTTTACAAAAATTAAAAAAGAAAAAAGAAAGAGAACTGCTTGGAATGGAATTAACGACATTTTAACTTAATATATTCCTAAGATACTTAATTTCGTTTTACATCCAAGACGTATCTTAGGATAGTCCTAAGATATATGTCTTAAGTAATATCCTAAGACACACTTTAGGAAATTTTCATAAGCATGCCTGCTAGAGTTCGGATTCAACGGAAATTAATGTGATTTTACACTAAATGTATTTATTTTCGCTAAATTAAGCTATATCAAAGTTTTTAACACCAGAAGATTATCATATTTATGAAATATTTTCTATTATAATTTTTCCTGTTGTGTTATACACTGTACCTTCGTAAGATATTAACATCCTACCAACAATGTTTCTAGTCTATTGGCTAAAAGCAAGAAAAACAGCACACTACTATTGTTAAACATTACATAATTTGTTTCAAATGGAATTCAATACTGAAATTCTAATCATTACCTGTGACTAGCTCAGAATTTACATCACTTCACCAGAAAAGACCCCCCCCCCCCAAAAAAAAAATCACAACCCCCCCCCCCCCGAATTCATTCTTATTAACTGTTTTAAAAAAATGCAGCAGATGGATCACCAGGTATGGCCCGTTGTGTCCATCACTATCAACTATTGTTGAAGAACATCCAAGGATATATTGTTATTGTTCAGTAAGTAAGCGAATCATAAACTGTGTGTATTTAGAACAACACGACCACTGTTAACTGAAAAAAATAATTGCCGATGGAAGTGACGTCTCATTTGAAACAATCAAAGTGAAGATTATTGCGCAAAAAAGTAAATATAAATTCATTTTACTTAATGCCTCTTATTTGAAAGTTTACAATATATTATACACAAACACATACACACAGTTGCTTGCATGGAATGTCGATAAGCCTAACCTTCCTCCGGATCTTATATAGACCATTACTGTTATATGTTTTGTGTAACCAATTATTAACTTATTAAGGACATACGCAACGTAGTTTGAACTTTATTGTCTTTTTCCCTGGAGTTGAAGAGTTCCAATACTTAAAGGAACTGTGTGCTACATTTTAATGCCTATATATGCTGTTGTACATTTCTTCTAAAACAAGTTTAGATAAACAAAATATCTAGAATATATGTTTAGTAATTTTTGAATATTTTTCTTTGAAGTATACAAGAATTTTCATCAATTGATATCTTTTCAAAACCCCTGGTAATGCATGCTGATTTTTTGCCTATGAACATCTGATGGCACTATAATCTTAAATTAAGAATATCTTGAAAAATTATCAGTAGGTAAGGTACGTTGCGTATGTCCTTAAAACACGTATTGGCGTTGAAAAGTTTGAAGAGTAATTGTGGAAAATATAGGGGAGGGGAATTTTTAAACTTTCAATTTTTCTTTGATAAAATAAATATTTTTTAAATATTTAGAACCATTACCAATTTTCTTTCAATTTTAAAAATAACTGTTCAATTTTTATAATCAAGGTGGCGGGTATTTTTCCACTTTCCTGTCCTTCTTTAAAAACAAAGTCTTTAGAAATGACATAAAAATGAAATAATTTTCCAAGTTAACGCTACACCAGCATCAGAGCAATGACCAGGAGTTTGTCCACTGTTGTAATGTTATGTCTGCCCAGGAGTAGGCGTACCCCGGCCCCCAGGGCATCCTGTTTACTGTAAGGGCTATGAAGGTCTTCCACTGGTGCAGCTCCAACCACCCTGAAAATTATAAACCTTTTTTTCACAAATACGAAGTATGAAATATTAATATCAGCATCATTCCTGTTCGTAAGAGGTGGTTATAAACAATAAAAAAGAAATGTGGCATACCGTCTTATCAATTCACAACCAGCAAACCCGGCCATTTCAGATAGTAGTTTATCTTGGTAAGTCTGCTGCTCTCCAACAAAGCTCGTCATTTCCTCCAGGTACTTATTTACTGAAGGAAAATGTTCATTTTGTTGAACATAGTATTTATTATCTAATTTACAAAAAAAAAAAAAAAATATAATCAAGTATATTTTTTTATACTAACCTGTCACTTTGCATGCCTCTATCATAAGTTGCGCAAACTTCCTATGCCTGTCGTGGTCTTCTGGTATTGACATGTGGCCATAATATGAAAAAAATGTAATTGGCAAGAAGAAGCCCAATGTCAAGAGCTGCAGGTCCAATGTATGCAAATTCCAAGTCAATAATCTTTAAAAGAAAACATGTATATTCAGTCTATGAGGATCTGTAAAGATTTGAATTTAGAATTGATTGATATGAGAACCAAAGACCAATACCGAGAGCACTACAGTCTTAGAATTCCCTGGGTCATTAGTCATGGATTGCTGAAACTTTTGAAATGATATTTCAGTGTTTCTTTTGGATACATATTTATTATAAAATACTTTGAAGGAAACCATTGCATTGATGTTAATCACTGTTGAGCTAGGTTGTACATGTAAAATCATGAGCATGAGCTTGAAAGAGAGAGAGGGAGAGAGTAGGGGGGGGAGGGTATCCATGAAACATGAGCTTTCATTATATATACAATGTAGTGATGTAAGATGTAATGAATTTAGTGTCTACAATTTTAGCTAGTATGTCCACATACTTTCGTATCAGCACCATTCACCATGACAGAACCCGTATGTAGATCACCGTGTACAAGGCATTCTTTCTTCGTCAAGAAAATATGCTTCATATCGTTTGCTACATCTAAGACTCTAGGATTATCGTATAGTTGTGAAAGACTTGAAGTGATGTCATCTGAGAGTTTGTTTGTGCTATCAAACTTGTCAAAGGGTTTCGTGAAGATGTATTGTTCAGTAAGTTTGACTAGTTCAGTATCTCTGTGAAAATAAAAAAAAATAATAATAATAAAAAAAAGATTGTAAATTGTACTATCAAAGTAAAGTACCACGAACCTTACTAGCATATAGCTGCAAGTAAACTACATTTGCCGCCAAAATTGTATTATGACAATTTTTTTATACTGAAGTTCGACTCACTGAAATTTGCTTTTATATTCACTAAAGCTCCTCTCGCTAATTTTGGCGACATGGGTTTGATTGTGAACTTTTCCAATGTCTCTTGCTAATTTCTCTACTGCCTCCATACAACAAATTCCGCTAATGAGTTGTTTACGGAAATCTTTATATGTCACTAAATCTTCCATACAGACTGAAATAAGACAATTGATTTATATACAATTGTAGCTATTTGTATTGAATTTTAATCAATTCTGACAATGGAAAAATCACTTTAACGTTGCATTGACAATATTTCTAATTTTTTATTGATTAAAGTTTTATACAGAAAACAGATGAAAGATTCAAACTATTCAAATTAAATACGTTCATAGTGTGTAACTGTAATAATTCCTATGAAAACTTCTTTCAATAGATCAAAAGTTTTCTATAAGTTTATTTTGCAAATGATCTTAGTTAAAAACAATATAATCTAATGGTAATAGTGATGTGGATTCTACATACTTGTTCTAGACTCGTGATCATAAAAGTACGGTCGTGGTACACTAGCTAATGCGAGCTCTGAGAACACACACAGGGCGTCATATTCTGTCTGACCTCTAGACGGCTCTAGCGGGTACTCAGGACCTAAACACTGGCATTAAATGGAATGTCATGACATCTCTATTATACACGTATGGCAAACTAAGTGTATAATTTTACTTAGTGTTTAAAATTATATATAAATCAATTAACATAGATCTATGAACATAAAGAATCCAGGGTTAATTGCTGCATGTTTACAATCGTACTTTTACGTCATCTTCCGATATGGCAATTTTACAATGTAAATCAAGTGTCTACTTACATGTATATTGAATAAATTACAGTATTTCACTGTTGAAAATGTAATAAATATATTGAAAGTCTTAAGAGCTCCATAAAGTGTTTTAATCCTTTGGAGAAATGATAATATTTATTTTTTGGGAGATGAGGTGGGGCCAGTGGAGAAAGTGTCTAGATCTTGAATGTTCCAAACTAAACCAGACTATAATATACTAGTAATACTGACATGACAAGTGCTTCGGACAGTTTATAACTATTTCTGTAGACTATTTGTTTAGAACCCTAAAATTCTTCGTGTAAAACAAAATGCACAAAAAGGGAAGTGAAATATATTTTTGATTTATAGATTTATTACCATCGATTTTACCTTAATATAGGGAGGTGCCCGTTTAAAAATGATACTCTGTCCAGATTTTTTTGCTCTAATTACGTCATTCAGATTCCCATCACCAGCTGAGGTCAATTCAATGGTATCTGGGCCACTAAAAGACTTCAGAAAATTAATAATTAAATTTTAGTGAAAAGGCCAAAAGGAAATAAGAAAAAAGTAATACTGACTTAATAGTTAAACAAGTTTTTGAATTGATCAACATACTAGTATTTTAATTACATGTAATTTGAAATAAAATGACTTGAAAGACACGCCTGTATTGTTTTCAAATTTATGTATTAAATTAGAGATAATTAACCATTCAAAAAGCACCCATCCTCAAAACTGTTCATGTTTAAGTCTTTGAAATGATACTTTGAAACTATCAATGTGGCAATAAGATTTTGAGCCAGAATTTAGTTTGTCGCTGATAGTGTTCCATACATAAACCCACCTTAAGTTGGTCAAGCTGTGAATATTTGTCCAGCAGGCCAATAAACATCGCCTGATCTTTATCCCAGGTTGCCATCCTTTACGAAAGTACAGTAATGGGTTTTGTATTTCCTTCTTTGTAAATTTGTCCTGATTCCTCAAATAGCGATATTTATCGCACTCTTTTTTAATAAATGTACAATCATCTGATAAACCTTTTCCAGTTCACTGTGACCTAGATAAGTGGACAGATAATTGTATGGAACAACACAGTGACATGATTCGTATAAGTTAATGTCCGAGTATATAACTTATAATTATGTAAACATTTTGTTAAGTCATTCTACAGAAAGCGATAGTTTGCATTTCAATGTAAATTTCTAGATAAATTATTCATAATTCCAATGTCAAAAGTTTAGAAAAATTAATGTAGGTGTCTTATTAATTTTCAATCAAAAGTTGAAAATGATTACATGACAAATTAGTAATCATTTCAACTTTAGATTGAAATTATTAAAAGACATAGGTGAAAGTTATGAAATTCAAAAATACAATCTGATTAACATCCGCTCACTTACATCCGCCACACCTTTTGTAATGATTTTTGTGAGAAGATCAAAAGGTCTGATTTTAAATAAATTTATTCAAGCATATTAGGAAATCTCAGTGGCGGATCCAGGATTCTTGAAAAGGGGAGGGGGCAATCTGTTCTAGTCTGGGGTGGGGACCCAGTGGGCGAAGCTACCGGAAGCTCTTTTTCGACTCACTTTAGCTATACTTTTATGTAAAGTTGATGCTATATCCCACACGTCGTCGGATACCCACGGTGATCTCGTCTTTTACGTGATGAGTAAAAGACGAGATCACCCGTGGGTATCCGACGATGTATTCCACAACAACAACAAAAATATTTATCTATCTTGTGTATTTTTGGTCACAAAAAGGGGAAGGGCTCCCCTCTAAATCCGTCTGTGAATATACTAGTATATAAATTCAGAATTAGCCACCGCTCTTCTTCTCGATGCGAGCTTCTTGTAGTGGACAACATGAACACAATATTTATTTAGCATAGTAATTAATTAAGTTCTTTAATTGTCTCTGTATTGTAACCTTTTTACATTAAATCAGTTTAACATTTCATCTATGTTTAAAGCAAGGTCCACTTGAACATTGGATTAAACATAAGTGATTAAGGCTCATTCGGCCAAAGACAAAAATGTTATTGTGATATATTTATGCCCCCGTATCGAAGATTCAGGGGTATATAGCTTTTGCCCTATTCGTCTGTCTGTTTGTCTGTTTCTCCGCAAAAACTTTAACATTGCCCATAACTTTTGATTGGTTGGAGCTATGGCTTTCATACCTTTCTTTGGGTACCATCATATTTGACCTTTTGACCTTGACCTTGGAGTTTGACCCAGTTTTGCAAAATTTTATACAATTTTAACCTTGGCCATAACTTTTGAACAATTGCTGCTAGGGCTTTCATACTTTACATGTGTAATCCTCGTGACAAGTCCTTTCTTTGGATACCAACAACTTTGACCTTTTGACCTTGACCTTGGAGTTTGAACTACTTTTGAAAAACTTTAACATTGGCCATAACTTTTGAACAATTGGTGCTTCAACTTTCATACTTCACATATTTAATTCTTGTGACAAGACCTTTCTTTGAATACCAACAACTTTGACCCTTTGACCTTGACCTTGGAGTTTGACCTACCTTTGAAAAACTTTAATATTGGCCATGACTTTTGAACGATTGGTGCTTCAGCTTTCATACTTCACATATTTAATCCTTGTGACAAGTCCTTTCTTTGAATACCAACAACTTTGACCCTTTGACCTTGACCTTGGAGTTTGACCTACTTTTGAAAAACTTTAACATTGGCCATAACTTTTGAGTCGTTGATGTTAAGCCTGTCATACTTCACATATGTAATCCTTGTGACAAGACTTTCCTTTGGATACCAACAACTTTGACCCTTTGACCTTGACCTTGGAGTTTGACCTACTTTTGAAAAACTTTAACCTTGGCCATAACTTTTGAACCGTTGGTGCTAGGCCTTTCATACTTCTCATATGTAATCCTTGTGACAAGACCTTCCTTTGGATACCAACAATTGTAATCCATTTACCTTGACCTTGGAGTTTGAATTACTTTTGAAAAACTTTAACCTTGGTCATAACTTTTGAGCGATTGGTGCTTCGGCTTTCATATTTCACCTGTGTATTTCTTGTGAGAAGGCCTTTCCTTAGGCATTAATTTTGACCATTTGACCTTGACCTTGATGTTTGACTTACTTTTGAAAAACTTTAACCTTTTCTATATCTATTCAATGGTGGCTGCGAGGGATTTCATATTTCACAGGTATATTCCTCGAGACAAGACCTTACTTTGGGTACCAACATATTTGATTTGCATTTGAGAAAGTTTAACCTTTGCTATAAGTTGTCATACGGGGACATCAGTGTTTCACAAACACATCTTGTTTTAATTAAAAATTGTTCAAGAGATCACTCTAAGACAAAGAACTGGTCTCAAGGTCACTTCAAATTGAGATAAAATGTTTTTTAAAACCTTTGATATTTTGCCCACTCTGAGGACTAGGATAATTAAATTTTGTTAGTTGATGCATATTGGGATCTCAAGGTACATGTGTATTTTGCCATAAAAGTAGGTTACAGTGACCTTTCTGGAATTTGCAGCTTTTTTGTTTTCAGTTTTTTAAATACATGTCTTGAACATTGAGACGCCTATGACCGTTAAGCCTTGTCGGTTGATGTGTAATGATTCGGAGTATGTCCACTAAAAACAGGACCCACTTTCTTAATTCTATGGTTATTAATATTCACAACATTTTTGATAAATATTTTAGATACTTAGGGCATCAAACTTGATGCATCTTGAGGTCTCGGGGTTACAGCTCATCTTTTTAAAACCTTTCAACATCAATATTATTAACACTATGACATGTTGGGTCATCAAAACCTAAATTGGTGACATATTTTGAGGCTATGGATTTTTATGCCCCCGTATCGAAGATTCGGGGTTATATAGTTTTTCCCCTGTCCGTCCGTCTGTCTGTCTCTCTGTTTGTCCGCAAAAACTTTAACCTTGCCCATAACTTTTGATTGGTTGGAGCATTGGTTTTCATATGTTACGTGTGTATTCCTTGTGACAAGACCTTTCTTTGGGTACCACCATATTTGACCTTTTGACCTTGGAGTTTGACCCAGTTTTGCAATTTTTTACCAAACTTTAACCTTGGCCATAACTTTTGAACAATTGCTGCTAGGGCTTTCATACTTCACATGTGTAATCCTTGTGACAAGACCTTCCTTTACATACCAACAACTTTGACCTTTTGACCTTGACCTTGGAGTTTGACATACTTTTGGAAAACTTTAACCTTGGTCATACCTTTTGAACGATTGGTGCTAGAGCTTTCATATTTCACATGTGTAATCCTTGTGACAAGACCTTCCTTTGGATACCAACAACTTTGACCCTTTGACCTTGGAGTTTGACCTACTTTTGAAAAACTTTAACATTGGCCATAACTTTTGAACGGTTGGTGCTAGGGCTTTCATACTTCACATATGTAATTCTTGTGACAAGACCATTCTTTAGATACCAACAACTTTGACTCTTTGACCTTGACCTTGGAATTTGACTTACTTTTGGAAAACTTGAACTTTGGCCATAAACTTTGAAAGGTTGGTGCTAGGGCTTTCATACTTCACATATGTAATCCTTGTGACGAGTCCTTTCTTCGAATACCAACAACTTTGACCCTTTGACCTTAGAGTTTGACCTACTTTTTGAAAATTTTAACTTTGGTCATATCTTTTGAATGATTGGTGCTTCGGCTTTCATATTTCACCTGTGTATTTCTTGGGAGAAGCCCTCTCCGTGAGCACCATTAATTTTGACTATTTGACCTTGATGTTTGACATACTTTCGAAAAAAAGTTAACCTTTTCCATGTCTATTCAATGGTTGCTGCTAGGGCTTTCATATTTCACAGGTATATTCCTCGAGACAAGACCTTACTTTGGATACCAACATATTTGATTTGCATTTGAGAAAGTTTAACCTTTGCTCTAAGTTGCCATACGGGGGCATCAGTGTTTCACAAACACATCTTGTTTAATTCTAAAGTAGGTCACTGTGACCCAATTTTGAGATTTAATTATTATTTATTTAGATTTTTTAGCGTGATGCTAAGAGTCCTAGAATCATTGAGCCTTGTCAGTTGAGCCATTATCAAACCTTGTCAGTTGAGGTACCTCGGGACCTTGGGGACAGTAACCTACTTATTGGTGTAATGATAATTAATTGTGCAGTTTAATTGATATTGAACACTATTCTTTTCTGGTGTAGAAAGAATCAGGAGTCAATTGTTGGATTTGAATTTGATCACTGTTTGGATACTAAGACGTCTAGAATCATCAATGTTATGTCTCCTTGACTCATTAGTTTTGTTTCCACTATCTCCTTATTCCCTTTCTAACCTTTCTTTCCTTTCACACATCGTACCCTTCCTCTCTTCTCACCCAGTTTTACCTTTCTCACTTCCTTTAATTACTAATTATTGAGGGGGCAAAAGCATATAGTAACTATGTTTTCTATAGTATTCTATATATCGACAAAATTATTGGGGACCCCCCCCCCCCCCCCCCCGGTTCCTACGGCCATGAACGATGTAATCCGTTGACAATTAAGTTTGAAAATAATGGCCTAAGACTTTAATTTGTTTTAAAAAACATCAATCAACATTCAACCATACGAAAGGTTGAATTTGCAAACAAAGTCGTATCAGCAGAGTGTAGAATTTGCGAAATGTTGACTTTAAACAAGGTTGTACAGATTGTACCTTGCTTCCTTTGCATCATCATTTTACTGTAGACGTCCTTAAAAGTTTTTTCCACGGGTTCATAATTCCGCGGAATCACAATTTCTGTTTAATCCGCGGGTAGAAAATTTGTGACCGTGTACATAGCGTAAATTAATACCACGCGGAAAATGTACTTCTACAGTATATTAATTATTTGTCAGTAGTCTGCCTCAGTTTAGAAATTGTTCGTACACAGAACATTCTCTTGCACATCGAAATAACTGACATAAACACCATATTCAGGTGATAGTGGTATACATGTATTGCCATATAAATAAGGAAAGTTGAAGTCATCACCTTCACTATAAAGTTGTTAGTCTGTCATCAATGTGTTTCTCGGGTTAAACATCCAAATACGAAACAGTAACAGTAAATATTGTAATTATCTCTATCCTGTAAATGTATATAATCTTATCATATTTAAGTTAAATTATAACAGCATCTGTGTGTGCCGACAAATTGACTACCCAGCGTTAGCGCGGTATGATAATTTGTCGGCACGGCCAGGCGCTGTTACAGGACGATTAACATCCCAAAATGAGAATTCAATGCTTATATTCACGTTCTCTAATTTATTTCTTTTGAATGGTTAATTTTGTTAATATTTACTGTGAACTTAGCGCCTTTCAGAACTGGTGTGCTTAAAGACATAAGAGCCGTTGTGACGATGGGAGTTAATCCTGAAATCTCTGACAAGACTGTAGCTCTACTGGTTTGTACTTATGACAAAGGAGGAGAAAAGTAACACTTGGACTTGAAACTTTGCAACAGCAATAAATAGAATAATGATCCTCCGTTTAGTCTCTTTTTGTTGCAAGATTTATTGCAATCAGACTAAAACTTTAAGAAGTAACCTTTTAAAAGAATTTTAAGTTTTGATTTTAGTAACCATGGCAACATCATTCATAAAAAAAAAACGATACCGACAATTATATATCTCAGTGTAGCCTACTTGCATGCCAAGTGATATTAAAATCAGACCAAACTGTAGGAGGAGTCACATTTTGAAAGTATTCTTACAAAACTTTATATTTTAGTAACCATGGCAAGACTGTTCATCAAAAACTGATAAACAGAATTATGTACCACAGTGTAGTCTATTTATGTGCCAAGTTATACTAAAGTCATACCAAAACTGTAGGAAGAGTAGTGTTTTGAAAGTATTTCACAGAAATTTCTATTTTCAATATCCATGGCGACATTGTTCATTGAAATCAAAAACCAATAATCAGAATTATGTATCTTAGTGTAATCTACTTGTGTGCCAAGTTATACTGAAATCAAAAAAAAATTGAAGGAGGAGTAGCATTTTTTAAAGTATTTCACAGAAATTTTTATTTAAATAACCATGGCTACCTGTTCATTGAAATCAAAAATTGATTTAAAGAATTATTTATCTTTGTTTAGTCTACTTCAGACTACTTGTGTGCCAAGTTATATTGAAATAAAAAAAATGTAGAAGGAATAGCATTTTGAAAGCTTTTTCACAGAAGTTTGTATTTTTAGTAACCATGACAACATCGTTCATCGGAATCAATCTACTTATGTGCCAATTTATATTGAAATCAAAACAAAACTGCAAGAGGAGTAGCATTTTGAAAAATTGTTTACAGATGGACAGACCCCTCCCCCCCCCCCAGCTTGTTTCAGATGTTGAAAAAACAAACAGAAGTGAAGTACCACTAATTATGTTTTTTGGAGGGCCAGTATACATTAAACTTGATTTTACTGATACCTTGAATGGTATCTTCACTCATTCTGGTTTGCATCCATCACCAAGTACTAAAAAGTTTGACAGACAGTTCAAGGAACTACAGCAGTACATCTTGCAACATATTTTTAAAGTCACGAGTTTAATGTCGATGATCAACACTACATTTCCTTTGTTAACTTATTATCAATAAATAAGAAACGACATGTACTCATCTTATATTTTATGACAATCAACAAGGAATTTAATGAATCAGAAAAAAAATATTAACATAGAGAAATTGAAGATGTAAATTGTAAAAATCATTATTTGGCACATTCATTACTTCAGTAAAATAGACTAAGAGACAGGCATCTGTAATAGATCAATAGTTCAAACACTACAAAACAACATGTATGTTTCTGAAGTTAAAGCCTACTTAAAGGGGCATGGACTCATTTGCATTGCTTTTTTTTTTTTTTTAAATTTATTTATTTCAAAAATAATTCTGACAGTTTAATGAATTGATCTTGCATGAAAATTCCAAATATTCAATGACAATGGCAAACATGGGCACATTAGGTCTGTTATTGTTTAGGTTTTACCAGGTGTGTTTGATTTGCTGTAACACTACACACATCATTGAACATAAACAGATGACACTGGTGTGATGGTCTTGCCTTCTGTATTCCTATTCTGTCTTTAATTAATTATAGTTTTAATGTCTTTATCAATACACTGTAGATTTCCCATTTTTCTTAAATCTTGAGAATATATTTCAGTTTGTGAAAGTGCAATGTTGCATTACAATCAAACATGCCTGGAATACATTGTTTTGATAGTTTTCAGAAAAAAAGAAGTATCTAAACATGCTTTTATAAAATATCAGTCTGAAATGCTCTTGCAACATTTAAGTCACAAAATTCAATCAAAATTTTAAAGAATATATTAACTTCAAATCTGTGTCCATGCCCCTGTAAATGAATCATTTGAAAAGGTTTTTATCATGATCAATGCAATTTTTTTTTACTTCACAACAAATATAAAAACTCTTCAAAAAACATTCATAATATCAAAAATTCTTCACATAATCTTTAACTGGCATGATTAACTTGAAATAAATGACTGAAAACTGCAGACCTGTTTACCCTAACTGTTGTCTCTCAGTATTTTTTATTACATTTGTCAGTGAGATTTGGCATTTGCCCGTAAGATTTCACTTTTCATCAAATTACATATATTACTAGAAAACAACTACATTTCTGATTACCAAAACATGCTTTAATAACAAAGCAAAACATCATACCCTGCTTTCTTTTGAGTTATTTCTGTCATTTTTTTTTAAACCACCGCGTTTTGGCAACTTCAATGTTTGAAATTTTTCTCTTTTTTAGCGATTAAAAAGCATCAAACTGAGACAGATAACGAAAACTAATTGCTAAAATCCATATGAACGGATTTCTGTATTTTCATTATAGCAAAACGTGAGACGTATTTTGGACTGAAAATCCGTACAAAATACGGCAAAATCGTAAGAGTAAACAGGTCTGAAACTGGAGGAAAACTGGTTGAAACATGTTACAAAATATAATACAAATTGCAATGCATAGCACAATCTAGTAAAAAAAAAAGCTTTCATAAGAAACACAAGAATTTTAAACACCTATAAATAAATAATGATTTGAATGATATACATGGATTACATTTCATGGATTTCTGCAATCATGTAAAAGTTTATCCTAAATCTATTTTAATTTACAAGAAAACCTTAACAAATTCTTCAGATAATTTTACACTTTATACTTGGGAAGATATTAAAAAAAAGATCATTTTTATACTTGAAGATCCAAACATGTACAGAATAGTAGATGACTCATTTGCAGTATAACATGATATTTCTAAATTCCAGATCAAATTATTTATGATTTGTAAATCTAATGAAAACCACTTTACACAATAATATCATTCAACTACTCTATTGAGCAAATCTACAGAAACTCACTGAAAACAATCCTTTCAGTGCTTTTTGTTCACAATAAACATATTTTTACTATATTTCTGCTTGTAAAGAGAATTCCAGTTCTTTTTCAGTACTTCATTGACCTTTTTAGGTGCCTCTAACTTCTGTTTTCTGTACTGTTTGGGGGTCATGACCTTGAATTCAGTTGATTTCCCGGTGAACTTTGAGATCTTCTGATCTATACTTTTGGAGTCTCCAAAGTACTGGACTCTGTAGGTGCCAGGGGCCTGATTCTGAGGGATGTCCCAGGTAATGGTCACCTGGCTCTCTCCAAGTAACAGGCTGGTGTGCTTCCATTCAAATCTGATGATCAAATAAAACATTATAACATCAATAACCAAATTTATTTCAGTCCAAGTTAGCACAATTCCGATCTAATATTTATAGCTTAAATAAAGAGTTAAATACTGTAAATCACATTTTATTTGCAAGAACTTTATTTTTCGCATAATTTTTCTAGGTAGTCTGTCCGTGAAAATTTCTTCTCACATATAATTGTACATGTATTATTAAAGAGTATATTGAAAAAAAAAACACCCTAGAACTCTCACTTCTAAATTCAATATTACTATCTCACAAAAATAAGGTGTTGCAAAAATATGGTGATTTACAGTATGGAAAAATTCTTGCATCTATGCAAAACCAAATTTCCTTTTAGATAAAGAAAAGATTGCATCCTCTCCCCCCTCCCCCCCCCCCCCCCCCCCTTTTTCATAAAAAAATCCAGTAAGTCAAGGTTCAGGAACAAGGTTGTATGTTATTTGCACAGCACAAAGAAAACTTGAGTTCCTTGGTTTCCGCTTATGACTTCATCATTTCACTTGTTTCCTTAACTAACAATTCTGACCAAAGCTTACTTTGTTTCCCACTGGCTGTCAGTGTACACAACTTTCCAGCTTTGGTCTGGTTGCAGCATTTCCACAGTTAAGAATGTATCTTCTAACTTCAAAATAGATTAAAAAAAAATCAATACAACATGTTTTTTAGAAGATATATCATTATAATTTTCGCAAGATAAGAAAGTTACACATCTTTGAAAGTTATGTCACCTTAACATCATTTCTGGGATTGGCTCCTATAAATACAACTTGGACAGAATCTCCCTAAAAAAATAGAATGCTTATTTCTTCTAAATTTCAACAGAATTAAAAGAAAAGAACACGATTCTTAAAACACAATTTTGAAATGACTTGTTAGTATCTAACCTGTTTGTACTGAGGATTAGCATCAGTAACAATATCACCAAAACTCCTCCCAAAAGGAGCATGGTCAAAGATAACGGGAGGGAGGAAGGACAGCTGTCTGTCCATTAGATTGGGAGGGGTGGGTCCTGGAGGTGCTGGTGTTCCCTTAGAATGCAGAAATTACATCGTTTTTAAACAAGTAATGACTGAGCATTGAAGTTTTGAATCCACACAATTGGAGACAAATTCAAAAGAATTTTTATTATGCCCTATTGAAAACAAATGTTATAGTTAACATATTGATAATGGACAAAATTAGACCATAATAAGTTCTCATAAGCTAAGGTGAAGGTAAATATATTAAAAAAATTAAAAGTTAAATCTGAAATCATGTAAATTTCACAGGACCTGGAAGCTGTTGTTTGATTGTATTTTTACCTTTGCTAGAGCTACTGCAAGTTTATTGAATTCTTGTATAAATGCTTCCAATGTGTGAGGTCCATAAATAGTGGAAGCTCCTTCATACCTCTGGATCTGCAATCAAATAAAAAAAAATAATAATAAAAATGGTAAATAAAATAATCAGGGAATTTATGTTCCCCACTTAGTGACAAAATAATAGGATGGAAAATCTACAAAATGCACACAAAGAAAGAAAAAAATGATTGACCTTGACCTTCGTGCTTTTTCTTACATTTGAGAATTTTCTGACCTTAAGTTTCATTGCAAAAGCTCACAGAAAACTATAGTTAACATCTGAAACTACTAAGTTTTCATCTGAAACTAATATCTACCGTCATGTTATGGATATTTCTGATCTTGGCTTTCTACCTTTTGACCTCAAAATCAATATGGGTCTTTTTTAAGCCATATGGACTAAGAAATCAATAGGGTTTTTATTTAATTTTTTTCAGATTGGGGAGTTATGATATAAAATATTATAAATAAAGCTCAAAGAGAATTAAACTATCCTCTGGAAACCATTTTTTGCAATATTTAAATTTTTGACCTTTGACCTTTTGACCAAAATCAATAGAGATCTTCTTCAGTCATGAGGAGTTATGATATAAAACTTCATTGAAAAGGGCCAAAGACAACTAAAGTCTAGAAACCATTTTTGCAATATATGAATTTCTGTCCTTGTCATAGTGACTTTTTACCTTTTAACCTCAAAATCAATAGGAGTCTTTTATAAATCATAGGGAGTTATGATATAAAATTTCATTGCAAAAGCTTAAAGCTGAACATGACTCGTAAATAGGCATATGCCTTATTAGCTTTCCTTTCTCCCATATCAGCACTGGGGTATATCCTTTGCATTCGTTACACCTGACTGCTTTCTTGTCACAGGTACTTGCGTGGAATGGACAGAAGTTTACATGAATTTGTGTTTGTTTGTATACTGCACTGACCCATGCAAGTGTTGTAAGTTTCTTTGGTAATTTTCTCTCCTGCCGTGGAAGAAGCACATAGTTACTTTTGTCGCTACCCAGTGTTTTACCATGTAGCATACATCCGTCTACACAGGTAAAAACTGATTACACTGAACCATGATTAAGTGAAAGGCTTATATAGGGGCCTCAGATATAACAACAGAATAAAAGAATATGGTGGACAAATTCCTTTTACGAATCATGTTCAGCTTTAAGGACATTTTTAGATACTGTCTGGAAATTGAAGTATTACACGCAGACAGAATGAAGATGAACCAACAGACAGACAGACCCAAAATAACATCCCCCTCTTTCAGTAAAAGTGGGTGACAACAAATGATAAAGCCTCACCCTAACACCAGAACCCTGATCCTGAAACCATGAATTTGACATTTAGTAGAGACACTCCTGCTCATTACAACTATGTACTTGGCTTGCCCTCTATATGCCCAGCAAAAGAGAAGGAGATTTTCAAAGAATTAATGCATTTTTACCACATGATCAATACAGCCCCACCTTACACCAGAACCCCTAACCTAGGGGCCATAAATTTAACATTTTGGAATAGGCACCCTTAATCATCATAACCATACACATAGTTCTTCTGTAAAAAATACACAGGGAGAGAAGATATTCAAAGAATTTATGCATTTTTACTTTATGACCAACAGAGCATCATCCTACATCAGAACCCTGGGGCCATAATTTTCAGAATTTTGGTAGAGGGCTGATTGCTACATGTATTATAATCATGCCAAGGCCATCTTTAAAAAATCGTCTGTTTGCCCTCTCTCGACCGACAGACTAAAAATGATCCAACTCAAATTTTTTTTAAAACTTCCATTGAAGGATTACTTTTTTATTCATTCTCAAATTTTCTCATCCTATCAACAACTATTTTAATTTAATATGCGCAAGTTTTTTAAAAAATAAAATTTTTCAACCTATTCATATCCAATTTTTTAATTCCCGAGTTGGGAGAGAGCAAGCTAAAATTGTTTTTATCAATGGCCCAAGAGTTTATGCTTGATGTCCAGAAGTAAAGAAGATTTTTGAAGATTACATAAGTTTTGATGGTTTTTGCCCCACCCCTTAAGCCCCAGGGAGGCAGAGACCATGGAAATGGTTTTTCCTTAGATGCTTTACAACCAAAACTGGTTAAAACTGGTTTAGGTATTTATGAGAAGAAACTTAATAAAATGTTAAAAAGTTTATGACCGAAAGATGACACATGATGATGATATTTGAAAAAGATAGCAATATGTGACCTGAGTGGTTCAAGTGATATAAAATCGAAATAATTCACTTTATTGTATGATTGAATAATTCCCATCTCCTTGATTGGCTGAGATTCAACAATGTTTGAAAAATACTACGTTATATTGACCTGCACGTGACCTTCCAGGTCAATATCAGGAATTATTTCCAGGTCAATATAAGGAATTATTTATTCTACATTGGACCAAAAATAGGTGATCATATAATAAAACAGTTATTGCTGTTTTTTGAGGTCAATACGATGATTTAGACACCTTATGTTCACCTTGCCCTTCAGGCTTGGTGAATATTGTACTCCTCAGGTGTCTAAATCATCGTATTGACCTCAAAAAACAGCAATAATTGTATAGTATGTGTACTTTAAAAGGAAGGTTCATATTTTAGCAGCTTTGACGCAGACAATGATGCGCTAATTCATGAATACCACTAAGAAATCATTTATAAATACAATATACAACACGGAAATGTAAAGCGCTAATTCAAGATTTAGCTAACAACTCCATACCCAGTGACTGAGCTATATTTCAAATATGCCAATTTATGTACACATACAGTATTTCCCACCACAGACTATCTTTCTGTCAACATCAGTTTCTGAGTACTTTAATTGTATGATATTGTTGGGGATATAATGTTTTTTAATCATACAAAATTTAGACCAGATTACCACTTGCACAAACAAAAATTTATATGAAGTTTAATGATCACTTAAAAATGATATAGAACAGTATTGCATACTTGGTATTCTTCATATGTTGTGACATAGTCAGCATAGTCATTGGTCAGGCCAGCTATCACAGACAATGTGTTGGCAGGCAAACCTGCTGCTTTTAATGTCTGGAAAATAAAAAAGAAGAATATTAAATTTTTTTTAAAAAGTTGTGAATATTTTTATATAGTATTGCTTTATAAATACTCCTTTAGTTTACTTTGTTAACTTACAGCTGTTATACTGTCCCTTGTTCTCCTTCCAGACATGGTACTGAAATGTAATAACATTACAGTTAAGCTAGTATCTTTAAAATGTAATAAAATTACAGATAAGCTTCTGAACACACTATACTAAAATGTAGTCAATTTACAGTTAATGACATGTAAATATAAAATGTTATGTAACACTGTAATGTAATAAAATTACTCAAGCTTATGAAGTCACTCAAATGTAATAAAATATCAGATAAAACAATGCAATTTTAAGCTTTTTAAAGTCTTTTTCTTAAAAAAATCATAGATCACTGATCAACTTAAATATACACTGTACATAAATGTTGAAATGCTGCTATAGGTACCAGTAGGAAGTGTATGAGAGAAATTAAGATTCAGCAAAGTTACTGAATAATCACCATTCACAAAACATAAAATCTCCTTACAATTACTACAGTTTTTGTCAAACATTCATATTGCTGACCTGAATTCTGCTGGTACAGAGATGATGGCTAACTGCCCAATCCTGAAGATCTGTAGGTCAACAATAGAGGGGGACCAGGCATAAGGAGAACTTATCTGCAGTGAAGGAATGAATGTTAGAATGTACAGCTTGCTTCAAATGATAGGAAAGAATTTGAGGAATATTGAAAGCAAGTTCACCATGATTTTGCCTTGTTTGTGAGAAATTATTTTAAAAACTTATCTCAAAATGAGAGATCAAATTCAAGTTTATTTTGAACAATGGATCTTGCAACAGCATATACATGTACAGAAAATCAAAGCAAACAACTTATTTTCCCTTTTTTCTTATTTCATCACTTATAGAACAAAAATTAAAAAAGAAGAATTTGGATGACTATGAAGACAGACATACTGATTACTAAATGACACCTACATTTCTGTCTTTATTTTTGGTTAAAATTATTACCTCCCCTGTGTCCAGTAGGATGGGTTTAGGGTGCTGACATTCCTGTTGTTCTGCCGAGGGTTTCTTAAGAAAATCACGAATGAAATCCCAGAAGGGATTTTCTGTTGTATCACCTATAATAAAACCAGATAAAAACTTGATAAAACATATAAATAAAATAATTATCCTTTATATTGTGGAATCATATTATTGTGATGCCAATTTTCAAAGGTGCTTAAAATCTTAAGTTGGCATGGACATAATTTTATGGCAAACATCTCATAAACAAGAGGCCCATGGGCCACAACACTCACCTGAGCTACTTTGGCCCTGCTGTTCTTCACAAGACATCCCCTTTGTAATATATATTGTGGCCACGCCCTACCCCCAGGGGCCATGAATGGAAAAATTTAGAATCTACACTACCCAAGGATGCTTTTACATAAGTTTCAGCTTTTCTGGCTCAGTGGTTCTTGAGAAGAAGATTTTCAAAGATTTTGCCTATGTATTTCAATGTAAAACTTTGATTCCCTATTGTGGCCCTGCCCTACCCCCAGGGGCAATGATTTGAACAATTTAGAATCTACACTACCCAAGGATGCTTCCACATAAGTTTCAACTTTTCTGGCTCAGTGGTTCTTGAGAAGAAGATTTTCAAAGATTTTGCCTATATATTTCAATGTAAAACTTTGATTCCCTATTGTGGCCCCGCCCTACCCCCAGGGGCTATGATTTGAACAATTTAGAATCTACACTACCCAAGGATGCTTCCACATAAGTTTCAACTTTTCTGGCTCAGTGGTTCTTGAGAAGAAGATTTTCAAAGATTTTGCCTATATATTTCAATGTAAAACTTTGATTCCCTATTGTGGCCCCGCCCTACCCCCAGGGGCTATGATTTGAACAATTTAGAATCTACACTACCCAAGGATGCTTCCACATAAGTTTCAACTTTTCTGGCTCAGTGGTTCTTGAGAAGAAGATTTTCAAAGATTTTGCCTATATATTTCAATGTAAAACTTTGATTCCCTATTGTGGCCCTGCCCTACCCCCAGGGGCCATGATTTGAACAATTTAGAATCTACACTACCCAAGGATGCTTCCACATAAGTTTCAACTTTTCTGGCTCAGTGGTTCTTGAGAAGAAGATTTTCAAAGATTTTGCCTATATATTTCAATGTAAAACTTTGATTCCCTATTGTGGCCCCGCCCTACCCCCAGGGGCCATGATTTGAACAATTTAGAATCTACACTACCCAAGGATGCTTCCACATAAGTTTCAGCTTTTCTGGCCCTTTGGTTCTTGAGAAGAAGATTTTTTAATGACCCCACCCAATTTTTATCTTTCCTTGATTATCTCCCCTTGTAAGGGGGGTTGGCCCTTCATTTTAACAATTTAAACTCCCCTTCACCCAAGGACGCTCTGTACCAACTTTGGTTAAAATTGGCTCAATGGTTCTTGAGAAGAAGTTGAAAATGTGAAAAGTTTACAGACGGACGGACAGACAGACAGACAGACAGACGGACAGACAGACGGCCGGACGCCGGACAACAGGTGATCAGAAAAGCTCACTTGAGCTTTCAGCTCAGGTGAGCTAAAAATTATATTGCCTGAATATCTACATTTGTTGAGGTTGTTAATTTTGTGGATAAGGGGTACCACCATACACATAAACATTTACAAATACATTGTATTGAACCTCCATTAAAATAATGATTGCAAAGTTATAATATTTTTTTTTTTTATTAAAAATTTTGTCACTATATATACAAATGTTTCTACATTTCATAATTTTTTTTATTCCAAAGAAAAAAAAATAAAAGTTTTCAAATTTCAATTTCCAAATGGCAGAGAAGTTCTTAAAGTTGCCAATAAATCTGTTTACCCTGGGTGAAATTGAAGGCCCCTGGACCGTCTGTTGTTCCAGCAGCAAAACTGAATCCCATGGCAGGCTTACAAGTCTTGACCTGCACAGATGTGGAGTAAGTGATAAAAACTGAGAGATCATCGGTTCAGTATGGTGGCATATTTCTTCATCCAATTGTCATATGTTTATCAACTTGCCAGATGTTTATGTCGACTTGTCAGATATTAATGACAACTTGTAAGGTCTTTATGTCGATTTGTAGAAAATATTTATTATGACTAAGAACTCAGTATCTTGTTATACAGCAATTCAATGCCACTGACATTTATTTGTCATCATAATATTTGATAAGTTGAAATATATATCCAACATGTCATCATAAATTATCTGACAAATCGACAAAATTTCCTGACCTTATATTTATCTGACAATTAAGTTGACAATTTCTGACAAGTCAACATAATTGTCAGATGTTGACTTGTCTCGTCAGATAATGATTTTGACATGTACGATGCTATGTCGACTTGTCAGAAAATTATGTTGACTTGTCAGATAATAAAGTCCACTTATTAACTGGGTATGGACATATTTTCATGTTAATTTTTTAAACAGGTGAATAATTGACAAAACAACAAAAAGATCTGAAAGTTGTCATAATTCTCTGACAAGTCAAAAAAGCATATGACATGTCAACATAAACATTTGACAAGGAGTGGAAGAAATATGCCACCATAGGTTCAGTGATGCATACTTAAATATTAGAAAGTGCATAAATTAATCTTTCATTTTCAGTATATGTTTAAAAATAACATTCCAGCCCAAGATTAAGTCCCCCCCCCCCCCCCCCCCACACTAACTAGCCTTATGCTAAAGATTAATACTGCAGTATATACATGTACCTTTTCAACAAATTTACAAATTAACATTTACAAAATTTCCCTACCTTTGTTGTTTGGTTAATCTGCACCATTACATTTGACATATCAACATAAGTATGTCTAAAGTCTACAGGACCTTCTAACTTCATAGCAGCTGGATCATTATAAAGTATCTGTGTAATTTAAATCACACTCCAAGTATAAAACAGAACTTCATTTATTAATTGATAATTTGAAAAATATGTACAAGCTGGATAAAAATGTTGCTATGATATTACCCACTATCTTATAGTCTTAAACTTAATCACTGAATACCTTAGCTTTCTTATACTGGTTACTGGCAATAATTCTGGTGCTGTCAAACATGTCTTTACCAGGGCCAGGAGAAACACAAAGCTCATTCTGTTGGGGGAAAAATTAACCACATCAAATTTAAATAGAAACACCCTTTTCACACAGTGATTATTAAAAACATATACATTGAATTATGAAGACTACATATGTTTGTATAACTTTTACAGTTTATTTTATCTTTCACCCTGTGGTACCTACCCTTCCATTACAGGTGCTTGTGGGAACATCACATGGCTTGCCTGTGTCCATACAGTGAGGACCTTTTGTGTTGGGGGACACATCACCTTCATTACTTTGAGCAAAAGCTGCTACAAACTCACCCTGTATAATGAAAATAAAAAGCTTTAACCTCAATTTCTCCAACTAATTTTTTACTCTGAATTTCTCTATCAAGGTATGACAATTTAACTGTATGAGGGGCATTTGAAAAGTTCTATATATTTTTTTGATAAAATGTAATGCATTTAACAGAAGTTGATGTTTTGGTAACATTATAAAAACATAAGGAATAAATTCACGTATTTTTTTATGTCACATAAGTTTATTTGCAACATAATCTCCAAAATGACATCATAATCTATACTGAAATACAGCTCTTTTGACCACATGATGATGTTAAAAGTGGGGCTATAATAATTTTTGGCCATGACTTGTTATTTATTATTAGGTTTAATCCACAGGCACTTGGGGGGCTGGAACCCCCCCCCCCCCCCTCCCTTTTTCATTATTATTTCTTTTAAATCACATCTAATCATTTCCAACTGATACATAAAATGAGAGTATCAGTCGAAAACAATATATTTAAAAACAGCTTATTGAGACAAAGGAGTTACATTATCAATATCATGTAGTGCATATTATAAGAATATGAAAAGAGGAAAAAGATGTGTCGACCTCAGATTTAAAAGAAAAAAATTGAAAAAGGGGATCCAGCCCCCAAGTGCCTGTGGGTTAATCAGCAATTCCATATTTCTTCTGATAGTTGGTTAATGACTAAGATTTAAGGCTGGGTACATAATCGCTTCAGATTTGATAGGACCCAGAGAAAACTTTGAGATATCCAAGTATTTGAGATATCAACTTTAAAATACAGAGTAATTTGGTCCTCCAATTCACTTCAACATATCCATGGTATTCAAGATATTGATGTTCAACATACCAATTCAACTGTATCTACATCAAGGCTATTTAACAGTCAATGAGGAAACAGGGGAACAGACCTAGCAAAAAAAATTAATTTAATCATTATTGACAAAATAATGTACCTGGGAACCTCTGCAGTATTCACCTCTGTACTCCTGGTATTTCAACATATTCATTTCTTTACAACAATGATTTTTACAACCCCAGTATTTAATGCAAGTGCTGACAGAAAACGTGCCATTTTCAAAAGACTCTTAGATAATCTGGAAATTATTTGAGAACTCTATTAACATTGCATATGACAGATTTAAGCCCAATTAAACTTTATTCTAACTAGTATTAATCTCTTTTAATGTGTCTCCAAGTTGTACTCAAAAGCTGACTTTCAACCTTTTCAACAATAAAATAGTTTTCCGTTTCTTCGCCATTTTCACTGTCAGTATACTGGAATTATGACATCATATCGGGAGTTATTAGGTCACAAATACTATTCTGATATCACAATGCACATACGTTTTCCTGATATTTTAAATGGTATCAAAAAACATCAACTTTCACTAAACGGTTTTAAATTTGAATGAATGATATTCAGAAATTTTCAAATGCCACTCGTACGAATAAAAACCCAGACTTACTTTTCCTGGAAATGCTCCGCCGTTCAAGTCAGCTTCAAACATCTGAGCTGCCAGACCCTTGTTATCACTGCTGATTAGGTGATTAGTGTTGTTCATACTGGTGCAGTGAACAGCAAACCAACTAAAAATTTAGTACCAGTAAAATTAAACAGAATGCTAAAGTCTACACATGTTCTATAAATCAATATCATTATCAATTTACATGCTTAATCTCAGGTATTTTTCCTCTTAGGCACATGAAACGGAAGTAGATGGAAAAATGACTGACTTGATCATTCCAATGCCTTTGTTCTGTGCATCTATCATTCTAAGGACTGTCATATTTTTGTCCACATCATATCTGTACCTGCCAAATGAAAGAATGGCCACATATGAATTATACAGGGCAGGAAAAACAGAAATACACATGTAACAAAAATTTTTTTTCCTAAGTTTCAATATACATGTACATGTAAATAAATGTCTGTACATTTACACACATGCATGCATTTATCAATAATATTACAAAAGCTGTTAAGCAATGAATGTCTCATTGACATTGGAGGGTGCTTGGGATTCTTTTACAAAGTCCTTATAGAATTAAGCAGTATGCTGTCAAAACATGGGGATTGTATGTGTGAATTTCTTATGATGGCGAGATACATGGGTCATCTGTTTGTAACAAACGACCATCTCTCAAACATTCTTAAGTTTAATAGAGCAGAAAATTGCACCAATGTAGACATATACATGGTAAACTTTGCTCTAGGGACAGGGAATGATAATATGTCAAGATAAGCAGGGTAGTCTACAATATCGAGGTCAACATATCCGCATTTTTGCAATTCATTTATACAGGAAACATCACCAGGACCATGGATGAATGTTCATATATCCCAGGTCGTCAACATATCCAATGTCTGGATACCAAAGTTTTTAAGTGTGTCAAATAATAATACATATTCAAGTTTTACAGCATGTGTGTCTTTATTTCTGACTTCAGCATAATTTTATCTGTCCATCTTATAGGTTATATTTCACCACTTACTAGCAGGAATTTATGAGTTCTGGGACTGATTTCTTATATCACCCTGTCTGAGAAAATCTCTGCTCTTTTCCTCAGCAGGATTATTGAGTTAAGCTATAGGACTTTTGTCCTCTTTGGTTCTGTTCAAGTAACACTAAGTTAAATCTTCCTCAGAGGGATTATTGAGGTAGGCTGGGGGACTTCTGCCCTCTTTGATCCCATTTATGTAACTTACTTAGCTCTTTCCTCAGAGGGATTATTGAGGTAGGCTGTAGGACTTCTGTCCTCTTTGATCTTCTTTATGTAACTCTTACTTAGCTCTTTCCTCAGAGGGATTAATGAGGTAGGCTGTAGGACTTTTGTCCTGTTTGATCCTCTTTATGTAACACTTAGCTCTCTCCTCAAAAGGATTATTGAGGTAGGCTGTAGGATTTCTTTCCTATTTATTCCTGTTTATGTAAACTTACTCCACTCTCTCCTTGGAAGGATTATTAAGGTAGGCTGTAGGATTTCTGTCCTATTTAATCCCATTTATGTAACACTTACTTAGCTCTCTCCTCAGAAGGATTATTGAGGTAGGCTGTAGGACTTCAGTCCTATTTGATCCTGTTTATGTAACACTTACTTAGCTCTCTCCTCGGAAGGATTATTGAAGTAGGCTGTAGGACTTCTGCCCTCTTTAATCCCATTTATAGACATGTAACACTTACTTAGCTCTCTCCTCGGAAGGATTATTGAGGTAGGCTGTAGGACTTCTGTTAATGTTGCTGTCCATAAGCTCTCCCGTGTTAACATACAGGTTTCCTGGTCGCATGGAGTTATGGGCCTTTTCAATGCTCTGAAATTATTTACACAGTAACACTTGGTATGAGTATGGGATTTCTCATTTACATAATATAAATATAGGCAAGATCTGTTTATGTTTATTCTGCTGGTTAGTATTTGATAACATATATTCCAAATCCTACTCCTTGGATCCCTTACTTAGATTCTGAATCATCAACACACAGGAAAATTTGGGTATAAATTTTGAAGTAAATATTCTCAAAGAGGAACATGATATTGTTTTAACAAGTCCACACACATTATGCTTAAAAATAAAATTTCTTAATATACATATGTATATGATACATCTTCATTTAGTTTTCACTCTATACATGGACCTTATTCTTTTGAGAAAAAAAAATCTTAAAACTGCAGCTGTAAATTTTCCACTTAGAAATGCATAACAAGAATACTTAATAGATTTATAAGAAAGTACATACAGCAACAATTCCTGCAGCCAATGACAGGAAAGTTTCATTGACAAATCCAAGGGAAGTGATGTCATAGAGAAGGTACTGGTGGAACCCACCAGGGCCAGAGTGGGTGTGGGTTCCGCTAATAGCCACATTCCTCTCATTGTATAAGTCTCCATACTTGTTCTTCAGGCGTTTGATGATCTGAAACAAATTAAATTTAGAATCTTTAACAGTTAGAAAGAATAACATATCAGACAACTGTGGAACACTTGAATGTGCTTTGCTTTATAGCTTTTGTTGCATATTTCAACATTTGTGATTCAACTAAAATTATTTTTATTCAAGACTTTTATTTAACAGAAATCAAGGGAGAAAAAGTGTTAAAGGTTTACTAAGTATATTTATGTCTTCCTTGTGTAAACTGTGAACTGTTAATGTGGAAACTTACATGTGGGGTAATTTACACTAAATACCAAAGAAATCTTTTGTGTCAAATTCCTAAATGCACTAATGCTTTTGTGCATATTTTATTCATTATTAACAATACATTGCTCTGGTATCATAAAAATAATGCCCTTGCAATTTTTTCTTGCTACTTATTCACAGAATTAACAACACCGTAAAATTATCCATGCTTACAGAAGTTAGATCTATGATATTCTTGTTAAATGCAAAGTATAACCAGCCAGCAGACAAAACATATTTTTAGTGATTTTTGATATCTTATAAATGCACAAACCTCCAGTTTAAGTCCTTGAGACTGCATACAAGAATCTGTGCTCACAAACACAACCCTGCTTTTGTTGGCTGAGTCAGCAATGATGAAAGCTCGACTGTACTGACGGAGATGAATACCTTTACTTGTCTGGCCAGGATTGGCATATCCCATCTTGAAATATGTTCAGGTATTTTCACTCATCAAGTTTTAGTTTTGTACTTTACTATTTAATTAATGCAACATTTAATTTCGTAATTCAGCATTTATAATGTTAATTATGTTAACAATGTTATAGTAAATCACTCACTTACAAAATACAGGGTGTTTCAGAAAACATGCAACCATTTACTTTCCTCACTTTATTTATATGCAAACAGGAACATATGAAAGTTTTATATACAATTATGCTAAAAAGGCTTAAGTTTTTATTGATAACAAAAATTTAGAAAAAAATTACCATCTGAATTAATTATGACATCATATTTGACATCACTGAAAAAACAGATAATTTCATTCTTAATGTAGAATTTAATAAAAAGCAATCATCCAATACTGCTTTATCAGAGCATGTCACCAGTTCCTGTGATTAGGACAATGAAAATAAGGTTTACAGAATGCAAAGAACTTAGTAATATAAAGTGGAAGTTGTATAAATCTTTGAAATTTTGCAGCTAAAGGAAGAGTTAATGCATGATCAAAGAAATTTTAAGAAAGAAATGGAAGAAAAAGATAATTAGAACACATGAAAACATTTAGAATGTTACAAAAGAGGCATTGTTCCAGAGACTTACATGAAATTCTTTTGTAAAATAACTGAGATTGTGAACAAATTGAGCAAGTCAAGTGTAGGTCAGATGCTGAAATATGTGTTAAATCTTAAATCTTGGACTTGTTAGAACAAATGTTTGCAGGACCATTCAACCCTTTCAAATCTGTTAAATTGGGTCTCCACACTCACCTGACTTAACACCCATTGACTTTTATCTATGGGGATATTTAAAGGTCAAAGTTTTTAAAATACACCCCCAAAAAACAAATGAACTCAAAATGGTTCGAAAAATGAGACCTGATTCACTACTAAGAGACTCTCTGCAATAGTAATGAGAACTTTCTTGCATCGGATAGATTTATTCATTCAGCAAAGATGATGCCATTTAGAACATATTTTGTAACTAAGTGAAATTTAACAAGTTTCTTTTTTCTTTTGTAATTCATTATCTATCTGCCATATTAACTTTAATTTCATAAGAATAAATTTTGAAATTGTGACTTTTAATTTGATATGTTGGTGCATGGTATTGGTTGAAACACCAGTAAAATTTAATCAATCAAAATGGTTGCATGTTTTCTGAAACACCCTGTACATATATATGTTTTCAATTGATAAGTTTTATGGAAATTTTATACAATAATACATATACAATTAAAATTTTACAATGTCTTTCGATCGTTTAAATATCTAGTCATTTTGTAAAAAAGCCTTTGTGTACTAATTAACTCCTTGTTTTTATGCACAGGAGAGCCTCATGTACAAATTAAATCCTCATTTTATACACGGGAAAACCTTGCTTATGAGTTGACTTCAGTTTTGTATACGAGTTGACTCCTTGTGTACAAGTTGGTTTGTGTACGAGTCGGGTTGTGTACGAATTGACTGTAAATCGGCAGGATATGTGTGTTGGTGAGGAACTTAATTTTTTTTTTGAATGATTTTTAGTTATGCTATATCATCTGCTGAATTTGTACGTTAATCTAAGCTTAGCTATTTTATTTTTCCATTATTACTACAATTAGTGCTTTTTAGCCTGATTCTTATGTTTAATGTAGTGCTTAATTTAATTTGCTATTATGATTATTATTACTATTTTTTAAAAATTTTATTTAGATCTATTTTTGTTTCTCTTTTAATGCAAACATTTTGTATTACCATTTTTCGTTTCTCCTCTATTAATCACTGGGTTTCTTCAAAACTTTGTTTTATCTACCATGTGTGTGTAATATATGTAAATTTGTTTTTGCATGTTTAAAATTATGTTGTATGAATGTTATTCCTGTGATATTTTTAGCTGTGATAGTCTGTTTAACAGCTCTATATTAATTGTTATACTGTGTAAAAATGCCGACTTTAAAGGACTTATCGCATGATTTTTCAAAAATCTTAATTTTATGAAAAATATTATCTACAATCTTGTTTATTAAAATTCTGAATACAATAAACGTTTTTAAAAGCATATTTTAAGAGATATTGAGAGTTGAAATTCAAATACGGCAATATGCATATTTCAGTCTGATTTCGGCGAAATACTGCTCTGACGTCCTAGGCGACAATTCAGTGATAGAGAGATGAGAAGTTGCACATTATTTTCGAAGTTATCAACGACAAATGCAGCTTAATTATGAAAAATGCTGAAAAAATTAATTCCTAACGTAATTTTCAATTACTATAGAAACATTAACTAGTTCTAAGGTATAAGACTTTTGAGATATTTTCGTTTTTTATTCCAAACATTTAGAATCTGTAGGTCTGATTACGGCAATGTTTCGTGATCGGAAAATTATTTTTCAAGACCGCCATCCTTTACAAAACATATGAAAGCATACTTGCATAAATTAATATTATGTTAAAAACGAAGAATAACAAATTTATGTAATATTAAAGAGCTTGGTTCACTTTATGCATAAAATGGCCCTGTCCTTATATCAATTAATTGACTATCACCCTCTGTCCCATTTCATATATCAAAATAAAGTAGAGACTTAGTGCTTTTATTTCCTATAACAAAATTTCTTTTTGGGAATCCAGGTATTTGAAAACAATCTTTGAGAAAATGGAATGTTCTTGAATTTGCAGAAAACATGCGTATTTGACTACATTTAGCAAAGAATTAAAGTATGAGCACAGCCCACGATCCAAAAATTAAAACATGTTTTGTGATCATCAGAAATAGATCTTTCGTTATGTAAGGGTATATTTTGGATCAGAGCTTGTGCTCTATATGAAATATTGAAAAAATACCTCAATTTTTGGCCATTTTTAAGGGAATTCACAGGATATGGGAAAAATGACGCATTCTATGACGTCATAATGCATTGACTAGAGAGAAAATTACGTCATGTTCAATAGATACACTTTCACCAAGGGTCCAAGTTATGAATACTGCATTTTCAACCAAAACAGAGCAGTTTCGATTTTTCAGAAATTCTCAGGGCCAAAAAAGACCCAAAGTGGCTCTTGCTCTTTGTGAATCAAATAAGTTAATACATGTGATAAAATGACAAATCAAATTGTATTGTGATGGCGAGTTTCTTTGTCTTCGCCGCGTCTCCCTCGCTATCGTCGCTGCTATTTTTACAATGTTAACGGATTTTTCAGATTATTTCTTGCTGACAATTCTAAAATATAAGGTTGGATATTAAATTTCATATCGATAAAATCAGTGATTTGGTCTTCCATAACGCAGAAAATTCAGGTTGTATCGCGTATATTTTAGTAAGATTTACGTGAAGAGCTGATCAGCCATTGTCGCCTTTGACGTCACAGGGTCACGTGATCGCTATCTAATTAAGTTAGATTTTTAATTCAGGGGTTTTCATTTGAGTCAATAATTGGTTAATTACCGCGGTTTATCCACAGTAAAAACACAAAATTTATAAACTGTGGTCATAAGGAACGTTTTACGCTTTTAATTTCAAATAATTTAGAAACATGCGATAAGTCCTTTAAATAAAATTTACTTCTATATGCAATTGGTATGCAATGGAATACGCAATAAAGAGAATTAAGTGGGTTGACTGCATAACTTGGTAATTAAAATTTGATGCATTAAACATAACAATATCCGGATTCATTTGAGATTCAGGCAAGCTTAAAACCCTATTTATTTGTTAATTTTTAATTATCTCAGATACATTACTTTTAAAAAAGTCTACCATGAGTCATTATATTGTCAGTTGAGTATCTCCCTTGCACGGACACAAAACACGAGTGTACGTAATTCAGACATTTCCTTAATAAACCAAGATAATTACCATGTCAACCTCTGCCGCTGGACCAGTAATGTCTGCAATTCCAGAACCAATAATGTAATTTGTATTCTGTCCATTGCAGATTAAACAAAACGACAGCAGCAAAACAGATCCACTGATCCAACAGGAGGCCGCCATTTTCAAACATGTGATGCACGGAAATCACGTGCTTTTTCCACTCAGATCATTGATCATGTGATCTGTCAATCTATAATTGTCAATCTCCTATGCAGAGTTGTCGTTCGTTCCTCTCTCACACACATTAGCCGATGGTAGAGAGTGTCTATATTGTATGATTGTATGAAAAACACAAAGAAGATGGGCGTGTTTGGCGTGTGATCTACAGGAATAAGGCGTACGAAACATTTATAGTTTAAATGTCTACGATTTGGTCGGTTGACCACAGCTGGACATACTTTACAAAGTTACGCACATGGGAAAATGTTACATTTAGTTTGAAATACTTTGCCAAATTTAATATATCAGTCAGCTTATTTTAATAATTACTACATCTAAAACTTAGTAACGCTTCACATAAATAATAAACACATATAGGGTATAGTTGAATGCAATTACAAGTATATACTTGTATATATGAAAGTATCAGTAGGTTGGAAGAATTGCTTTCGCTTTCGTTGCAACATAGCTGCAATAATGTAGCCCTCTCCGATTTTTTTTAATCTGATATTTTCAGGAGAGGGCTACAATTCCACTGCATCTCCGTAATGGTGCAAATATATTTTTTAGATACGGGCGACTGCAGGCAAAATAAATTGTTTTTGCATTCAACTTACTTCCAATGAGACGGAATTTTTATTCACTATCAACATCATAGCCCTTTATACGCGAAAACCAAGTAAAATAAATCTGCGTGTTTACCAGTCGTTCTCCTCAGCAGCCATGACAGTTCTCGCGTGATGCACTGAGACTTGCGCTTGAAATTTAGAATCACTTGATAAAGTAAATGTCGGTGTTGATAAATGTTTGTGTTGTATGATATCACTAAACATCGATAAATAATAGCATTCCATGGGATATTTTTTCATAAACAGTGATATTTATGCTTAAAATAAGGGAAATCCTCAACTATCCGCTCCCCTAGATCCCGTATTCTCATTGGTTGTCCCAAAATAAAATCGATCAAGGTCAGTAAACATGGCGGATAAATTCAAGTTGTGATGTTGACATACACGAAAAATAACCGATATACGGATTGTTCTGTATATTTTTGGATCAGTTCATGTCTTGCATAACTACATTTTATGAGTTCAGGTAAGATATGTTAATAAAATATCCACTTACTGATAATTTGAGCCGAAATCTGTGCGGTAGTGAATCACTCCCGCACTTGCACCATTACGGAGATCCTAAGGAGTTGTAGCCCTCTCCCCAAAAAAAAAAAAAAAAAAAAAAAAAAAAATCGGAGAGGGCTACATTATTGCAGCTAGTTGCAACAGAACCAGAATTTATCTATTTGAAAATAAATCAGTTCATAAAATTTAACTGACAAAAGAATTGATTGTTTGTACTAAAAAAAATATTAACGCTCCATGCGAGGATCGAACCAAAAATAGTTCTTTTTCATTTCAGGTAACACATACTACTGAGCTATCACCGCTACACACACTTTAAGGTATTTAAAGCGACAATGAAGCACCGCATTTACACATTGGAATTTTTTTGGGAAAAGTTCATTTTTTATCGTCTCTGGGTCTTCTACGGAAGCGTATTAGGGCCGCAGCAGTATTTTTTATTAATTTGTTATAACAAATTACTAATTTGTTATAACAAATTATTAATTTGTTATAACAAATTACTAATTTGTTATAACAAATTACTAATTTGTTTTAACAAATTACTAATTTGTTATAACAAATTATCAATTTGTTATAACAAATTATCAATTTGTTATAACAAATTATCAATTTGTTTTAACAAATTAGTAATTTGTTATAACAAATTACTAATTTGTTATAACAAATTGATAATTTGTTATAACAAATTGATAATTTGTTATAACAAATTGATAATTTGTTATAACAAATTGATAATTTGTTATAACAAATTAATAAAAAATACTGCTGCGGCCCTAATACGCTTCCGTAGTCTTCTCTCCATTTTTTACAAATGTTTGTTAGTTTCTTTGAATTAAAATGCACACAAATAACGTTTCAAAATCATGGAGAGATGACCCAGAGATAGCAAATTTTTAGAAAAACCTGTCTAAAAATGTAACATTTTGTACCAAATGACTCATCAAGCCAACTTTCAAGTTCTCTTTTAGCAAAATCAAAATACAATATCGGGAAAATATTTCCCTTTCCTATTTTACAGGAACCCGATACATCAAAAGAACGCTAAAATTCCATGTGACAGATCAATGAAATTTTCACTTTTCAAGTGCGCCCAGATTCCTGCCGAATGCCAATCAAAAGCGCCCTCGTTCTTTTATAGTTTCGGTGCAAGATTTTAAAGTTTATCAGGCGATTGTAAGCATAAACTTCTAAAGCTGTGATGTTGTGCAGTTATCATATTAAACATGTTAAAACAATGTGAATATCAGAGCACGAATTGTAGTAATTAATATTTACATTTCCAATGTCTTTGTCCGAGATAAAATTTCAAATAGTAAAAATACTTTATTTCTATATAAATCTACTGGTTCATCGATAGGCGTGGTGAAAAAAAAATCACGTGCGGGGCGGGACAGACAGAGACAGAAGCGGGGCTTGTAGCACGTGAATTTGAAGAATCAAGAGCATGTAAATATAAGGAATAACTGTCAGATTTTTTGGTTTCATGACGATGATCAATCGATTGGCTTGCGTGATAATTTTATGCATAAACGCCTTCGGCGTTTATGCAAATTATCACGCAAGCCAATCGATTGATCACATCATGAAACCAAAAAATTGGACAGTTATTCCTTAATTAAAGTCATATATATATATATATATATATATATATATATATATATATATATATATATATATATATATATATATATATATATATATATGGCGTATTTTTTTTATAAGTTCAGACTATCTAATGATGTACATTACCTGTGACAAGACCTTTCCAAATACTCTATGATGTTAGACCCCGTGACCTTGAAGTTTGACCTACTTTTCAAAAATGTTATTTTTCCTTACAACTTTTGATTGAGAAGAGATACGAACTTTCATATTTGACATGTGCATTACCTGTGAACGATGTTTCCGGGCATGCTACGATTTTTGACTCCTTGACCTTGACCTACATGTTTGACCTAATTCAAAAAAAATTAACTTTGGTGATTACTTTTCAATGACATATGATAGGGTGTTCGTATTTGACACAATATGCCATAAATAATGGCATCTCACCCACTAAGACACCGAAAGCGGAGGACCACAATTCTTTGAATTTGTTTGTTTGTTTTGCATATGACAGATTACAAGGGAACAGAAGGGGTTTGCTGGAATCACTGAAACATGTACAATCTCTCCCATAGACTTGCTTGTTGTACGAAGCACACACATGCACACAGGTATAGACACACATATTCAACTTGTCAACAATTCTCTACAATGAGTTTGAAAAAGAAAAGTATATATTGCATAGTTCAGTTTTAAAATGTCAACTCATGAACAAAGGTATTTAAAACACAGAAGTTCATCATGAGTGTTATGGTGTTCTCATGTTTTTCAAATTGGTGACGCAAAAAAGGTTTTTGTATAATTGGATTGCAAAATGTGAAAGAAAATAACCTCTTATGTTTGATCTCAACCTGTGTTTGAAGGGGAATCTGAGAAGATCGATCCACATTCATGGAAGGTAAACTTTTCTCCCTCGTCATGACGAGACGGCCTGTGATTCTTTAGATCAGCAAAATTAAAAAAAAGATGCGGTTTTCTTGGGGCTTGGCGATAAAAATCGTATCAGTTTTCACAGAGACCGATACGTTTACCACAAGACCTCAAAGATATTGGTATTAAATTAAATATTGATTGTGATATGACATTTGAATAATTGTACTTCAAATATTTCTCCGTGGAAAATTCTCTCGGCAAATTTTATTCCGCGAATTTAAAAAAAAATATGCGATTTTCTTGGGGTTTGAAAATCATGAGTATCAGTTTTCACTAAAAGACTGACACGTTAACCTCTAGACCACGCACCTCATAACAGAGATTGGCATTTAAAATAATCTGTTCTCCAGGTTCTGAAAATCTGCAACTAAGTTACTGAAAATGCTCACAAAAATGTCACCGATTCAAAATATGAGATCTGATGGTAGAGTGCCGAGGCAGGATGGCAGACATAGAACATTCCTGTCGAGGTAGAGGTAATGAGTATTTACTCATGTAATTTCTTCAAAGTTCATCATTATAGTTAATCATATATAGGAAAAATTATCAAATCTCAAAGATATTTTCAGGAAATGTTAATAAAAGCAATAATTATGCATTTTCTAATTGAGAATTGACCATCAAGTATTTTTAGGATAAAAACAACTATAGATATCCAGACATTCTGAAAAGTAGCAATTTTATATATTTGTGGTATTTAAATTCTTATATTATCTTCAATTGTTATAAAATACATAATGTAACAAGGGCACTGCAAGGCGAAGCTTCCCCTCGCAAAGAACACATCGACCCCGATATAAATTATTGCTTGCGTAACTTCTGTTCTCATGCTACTAGTATTTCATAGACGAATAATTTCAATGCATGTGAGAGTTTAGCTATTTGTGAAAATTTTATGTAAGTTATGCAATGATAATATGTGAAATATTAAGGAAACTTCGTTATGATTGAGATTTTTTATTTTTCCTTTTTATTTGTCCAACCATGGTCATTTTCCTCTGCTTATTTGCCCATCTTCTTTAATGACACTAGCGAAAACAATTTTATACATTAAGGTAGTATGGGATACCTCCACGTTATGACGTATTTCCGTTTGAAGTATTGTTTTGATTTGCATGAGTGCTTATTATCGGGTCAAAATTTGTAGTTACACCGTTGAAAAGAACACTCTGAAGCCTATTTCAATGCAAGTTCTCACAAGTCGGCATTTTAAGTAAAAACAGACAAAAAAATCGCAAGTATATAAATTTACTTATAATTGTACAACGGACATTTAAAAAAGCAAACCCCTGTAAAAGGTAGTTTCAATATTGCTGCTTTTGAACACTTTTAAGCAAAAGCTGTATTTCAATTGTTTGAGTAACTGTACAGCACCTTGTGTGCGGTGAGGCATGGATAAGTGCGATTACTTCACATTGTGCTGAATTATCACCAATCAATTATCACGTTAACCACAGCTGGACTTTTTTGTTATTTAATTCAAGAAGTAACTGTTTGGTCACAAATCAGCTAGCTGTTGTATATAGTCCCAAAACGTTCAGATGAATGCAATTGCTCTGAACAAGACACGTCCTGGAAAGCGATTGTCCATGCATTGTTTTCAAAACCGCTCAAAGTTGAAAACTACAAAGTGCGATTTTTTTTATGGTTGGGAAAAAATGCTCATCATTTCTAAAATAGCACCCAGGTTTTTTCAACCCTTGGAAAATAAAGAAGGATAACTCTTCCGCTCGGATCTTTTAATTCAAAAAATTTTAAATGCATTTTATATTTTCCATTTATACATATATTTTCAATTTGTTTATTTCACTTTGCTAACATATTAAGATAAATTCTTATTGTAGACTTTCATGAAATGCTATCCGTCTGTTTTCAAGAAATAAAGTTTTCCCAGTTTTTTACGCTTATTTTTTGTTGAAAATTAAAAAAATACTAAGACATATTTCTTGTCATTTTTGTTTTTATATACACTTTATATTAGCAAACGCCTGCCTATAATATTAAGCTTATGAAAAAAGAATTATGCAAGAAAAAAAAATCATTTTTGTATTTCTCATTAAAATAATAAAAAAATTATTAAAATTACACTTTAATATACTGAAAGGTGGGGGTATTTCAAATCCTTCTAATTTGGGTACATAAATATGTAGGAGAAGTTTCGTTTGGTATCCCATACCACCTTAATATATCTAGACCAATTAAATAGTTTATGTTTCAGTATTGCTAATGACAATCATTATCACTTCATAACGGTAGGAAATGTTAAGAATTGAGATTGAAATGATCCCGACACCCTTTGTTCTTATGCCACAACTGGATTTTCGCTCTATCGACCTACACCATATCCTCGATCCTTGTACTAACGTAAGCTGTTCTCATTTTCAGTTGAACTAGGTGTTTTCACCTAGGTTTTCTTGTAATGGGTATGTTCTGATGGATCATATTATTCTTTGTCTGGAAAATCAATCCTTTAATTATAAAATTTAAATTCATACAAATGAAGAGACAGCCATTCTTACTTCCACCAAATAAGTATGCATTCGAGTTTTGCCCTGAATCGACATTATGAGACCTGTGTTATATCAGTACAACAAATGTATCACCAGATTGGAAATAAATACATAAACGCTGAAATTGTTGAATTTTGAATGACATTTTACCTAGCAAGTTTTCGTCATCTGCAGGAACAACCTTGGCAAGGACAGTAAAATTGTCATGACACCTACAAGTGAGCACTGACGTCAAAGAAAAGGCAAGCACATTACCGAGTATTTATGTCAGATAATACAGAAAATACAGTTTAAAAAAAGTTTGATGCCTTAAGCCATTGGATTTCAAATTGTGTCACCCTCCTCTCTCTCTCTCTCTCTCTCTCTCTCAGCTATGATGTTCTTTCAATATGTACGTGTCAATTCCTTTTATAATGGTGTAATTATCACAATAGTCATTTTCCACCTCTGCATATGAAGGAACAGTTTGCTCCGTTTCGCCATCATCTGATAGGTTTTTAATCACATTCGCACTGACTGTTTTTGTCTGAACTAACACCCCATCCCTGCTGTCGGAGGTAGAGGGAGAACCATTCAGAAGTTTCTGTAAACAAAACCATTAAAGATTTACAATAATAACAAACAATCATTATCCCGTATTTTGATTTAATGAGAATAAAAGCATGAGAAAAGATGCTCCGAGATTCTTTGATATTCAAAACGTGTTCTTCAAACTATAAATTGAAATATAAAAATTTTTATCCCCTCAAAATCAAAGGTTTTCTATTCCTTCTAACTGCATATATTTAAGGTACAAAAATTTCAATCAGAATACACCAAAAAGAAAAAGAACATTGTCATTTAAGTTAAAATATGGACAACGGTTTCCATGTCTTGTATTATACCCAATGACTCCAGATCACTCCCTTTTGTTCGTCCGCAATATTCTCTTTGCAATTAAAAGACACCTCTACTAAAATTTTCCCAAGGGTTGTCAGCTGATATTTGAGTTGTAACCCAAGTAAAACTCACCATGAAATATATACTAATCTATATAAAGAACAAGCTGAAGTTTCCTGACTTTGAAAGAACAAACCTTAAACCTGAATGGTTTTCTGGTCGCCAGGGATTAAGATGATTGTGATAACAGAATTGACTGTTCCCTGGAAGAAGAGATTTGATGGCTTTGGATGAGGACATTGGTGATTTTTATAGTAATTCCATCAGTAATATAATTATGTAAGTTGTCTATACTTCCCTGCATAGTCATTGTGGAGGTTTTCCTCTACATTATAAGTTAGTGGCTTTTACAGAAGCGTGGCATTAGAGAAAATGGGCCAGGCAGAAAAGAAGACGTACAGCTGTAGCTGGAAGCTCAACACCGATCTGCAGTAACTTACCACCACTGTGACCCCCACCTCCTGAGTGTGTACCAAATTAGGGGTAGGAACACACGATGAGGGATGGTTTCGGCTGAGGACATCTGTGGTGTTAGCAATAATTCCATCAATAATATATAATTATATATATAAGTAAAACTTATAAACTGGACCTACCAGTGACTGCTGGGAAAAACTGGGTGGCCAATATAGACTGTTGATGTCTGGAAAGATGGATGGAGTTCTGAGAAGAGTGAAACAGGTGCAAAAGATTGGCACCCTTGTATAAATTTCCTTTTAAAAGGACTCCACACCAACGGACAATTCCCCCAGGGTCATCCGAGAGGTAGGATGTAACACCCAATGAGCAGGATGGAACGGTAACAATTCGACTGTTTTTTGTTTGTTTGTTTGTTGTATAACGTCCCTCTCGCTCTCGGGAATTTTTTACTCATACGGAGACGCCACCATTTGCCGGTAGAGAGTTTGCAAATTTTGACCTATATTCGGCACTCAGGGCCAGTGAGCAGTGAGAGATCTTTTCGTGCTAGCACCTACTGCGACAAGGGACCATGGTTTATACGGTCTCATCCGAGGGACCAGTCTCCACGTCCCACAGTGGGATTCGAACCAGCGACGTAAGGATCAACTCCTTTCTCCGCGACTCTAGAGCAGACGTTCTAACCACAGTGCCACTCGGGCGACCGACTCGGCTGGTGCAACGGATTTTGACTGACACAACGGCAGAAACTCAGTGACATTGTGGAAAGGTGTACAAGAACTTGAAGGGTTTAAAGATACATCAAGCAAGAACTAAGTGTGGATCTGGAAAGTAACAGAGGGAACACAAAGTTAACACTGATGAGACATTAGAGGACCAAAGCCAGGAAGAACACCGCAGTGTTGAAAACAAATGAGGTCACTCAGATCTATTAAGAGCAGAGGTGTCAAAACCAACAAACTACAACTGCAGAGCCTTCAGCAGATAGAAAGAAAAAGATACAATGGCCACTTACAGATGATAAGAGATGGGAGATCTTTGAAGACTTTGATAAGATATTAGACACACATTATCTAGAGACGTGCACAGAAAGTTGTCATTGTCAACAATCCTATAAAAAAAATGAGCAAGAACGATTCGGAGTTAGTAACGCCGAAGGGAGAGAGAAGGACCTCAGGACACCAGTAAATCCAACTGGTGGAAGCAAGAAATTAAGACACTGAAAGCGGAAATTAATAATGTTATAGAGCAGTACAGAAAGGCAAGCAGAGAGGAAAAGAAACAATGAATGAGATGAGGTCAATTTATAGGGAAGAAAAAAAAAACAACACTCAAAGTGCAGAAAGAATTAGGAAATCCAAAAGAGAAAGCAATGTTGTTGCCAACCCATAAAGTTTTCAAAAACAACACTGGATGGGACGAAGTCGGGCTCTGTGCAAAGCTCGAAGGATGAAGTTGGAAAAGCATCTGGTAGAATCACATAATGTGAGGCAATGGCTGCACCTGTGAAACTGTAAAAGAATATCGAGAGAGTTTGCCAGAACCAAGGTATCGATAGATATTTAGGAACCATTGAGGAAAGAAGTAGTAGTGAAGAAAGCTAAATCTGAATCTGAATTCCATTCAGAAGTTTATAAGAAGTGCCCAAAATTTCAAACCATCGATCGACGCTACTAGTATCAAAAGTAGTATGGAGAAACAGGAAAATACCATCATGCTGACAGAAAGCTGGGGAATTTTTTATTTAAAAAAAGAGAAATCAGGAAAACATCACATAGTTTCAGACAAACCCGCTAGTCGTTCTCTCTCTCTCTCTAAAGAGAGAGAGAGAGAAACTAGAGGCCTAAAACATCAACCGACATCAGGTAACCACCAAGTAGAGAGTGCATGCCATTGGGTGATTTAACTATCACAACAGATACCCTTGTACAGGCCCGATGGATATTAAATGCAGTGGATCGGACGGCATGGGGAAAAATGGCTTTCAAACTGAAGAAATAAAGATCTTGGATAATAAAAAAAGATAAACCAATTTCAAATAAAGGTGCAAGGAGAAATCATTCCGACTATATTCGACAATCCCATCAAGTTCTTAGGGACGTGGGTCGGTGATTCATAAAGTGACAAGACTTGCCGGTGGAGGGCTGCAAATTTAGACCTGTACTAGTACTTACGGCCTTTGAGCAAAGAGGGATCTTTTTCGTGCCAGCACCTACTCGGTTTATACGTTCTCTTCCGAAGGACCAGTCTCCACGTCCCGCAGTGGGATTCGAACCCGCGACGTCAATATCCAGTTTGTGAAGGAGAAGGAATCAAGTGACAGACAAATGATTTCAGAAAAAGTTAATCAAGCTAGAGATTGGCAACTACAGACAGATTTAGACAAGAAGCTGTAGTTTCCTGACATCGTTTCAACAAATAAATAAGACATGGTTCTCTTGTCGCCAGGGAGTACGAAGATTGCGATAATAGAGTTGACAGTTCCCTGGGAGGGCAGATGTGATGGCTATGGATGAGGACATCGGTGGTTTGAATAGTAATTCCATCAGTAATGTATGTAACATAGTTTTGTTTGATAATAAAATTTACCAGTACCTCAACATTTAAACAGGGATCTCTCAGTTCTGAATTACTTCATTCCTGTTCATTCAGGAATCTTTCCGGTGCTTCTTGTAAACTCATTCTCTATTCAACAGCCACGTAATGCATCTATTTTATAAGGTATGGATAATTGGTGATGATTAGTTTTGAAAACATCTCAGTTTTCATGATTTACGCCTATTTTTTCCAAAAATTTCCTGGAAGATACCTCTCTCTAGGCAGAAGAAACCCCATCGCACACATTCTCCCTCAATGTTTCGCTCCTGGTTAGTCATTACCTCCCACGGCAATGGTTCCTTTGGTATGGGTTTTGTCATCAATAGATGAAAATCCGAATGAGATACAATACAGTTTTAGAGTTAGACTAATTAAATTTGGATGTTCATATAATGTAAAAAGGAGGTTGAAATGTGGCTCAAAATACCATGCCGAGCATACATGTATTTTACTCAGAAAATGAGGTTTTGTTGTTGTTGCTGTTGTAATATTCTAAATTTGAATTTACTGAACTTAATTTTGTATTTACTCAAACCCATTAAATTCAAAATTTGGAACATGACATTTTCATTATTTTTTATTTAACAATAAGCATACCTTGGAAAGGATTTTATAAATACCTAATACCAGTATATTTTGAAACAAACACCCCGTATCCCTTTTAGTCTGACAACTTCCATCAGATTTCAAATTCATGAACTTGAATAATTCCGTAATGATAAAATGACATTGGATGCCTTAAACATGACTTAAAATGCTATAAGAGCTTTGCAAATAAAAACTAAGAACTAAGAATATGTTAAACTCGACAAAGGAATGTCTTAAAATTAACCATTACCTGACCGCAATCAATCTCTGGAACTTCGATTACGATGCTGGAATTCCACCATCTGTCAACAATTATAAAGTAATGAGGGAGTTATAATTAAATGAGAAAATAAGATTAGTATATTAACGATTGTATAATAAATGAATCACAGTTAAGTAGCCACTTACTTGATGATGGTTTTTCCGAGTAAGGCAGCTAAAGGTAAAAGACACAAGACAACAACAACGGATATTGCTGCGATGTCTGTAATAATATATACATGTAGTCCATTTATTGACTCAGGTCAACATTTCATTGCAAGAGTATTTCAGAAACAGTTATATAAATGGAATGCATTTGAAATATGAAAAGATTGAAGAAACACTCACGTAAATGAAATGTATTTTTCAGTTCTAAACATTGGATGTCGTTTGTTTGTGATTTCCCTCCAATATCCACTTCAATTTTAGCACAAAATGTGTCTTCCTGAATTATAGTGTAAATATATGATGTCACATCCGCTGCCATCTTGACCATTTTCTTAGCTAAAATGAAATTATATTTTACTGTCTAAGATTTTTGAACTTCTCATCTTTTGTTGGAAGGACAATCTCAATATTTACAACATCTGTATTTTGACGTTATAAGATTACAGGCTATGGTTACTTAAATACTATATAAATCTATAATAGGCACCATGTTGCTCACTTGTGCAGTTGGGAGTGTTGCAAATGGTCAAGACAAACTTTGCACCAAATTTCGATAGTAAGTGCATGTTACAGCGGGGCATCCTCCAGATTATGTTAATATGGGTCTGTTTCAGTAGTGTCAAGGTTACTTCTGGAGGTCTTGGAAATTCTGTAATATGTCATAGACTACTAATAATTCTGTGATATATAATAAACTGGATCTATAAACAAATTGAAATATCTGAACAGGAAACGATCGCTATTGATATCCTGAGCAAATTTAGGACGTCCAAATTAACGATCATTTCAATAAATATTGTAATGTTTCGTTTGGTTATTACTTTGACGTAAAGGTCTGACTGCATCATTGAAAGTTAGTGTCCCTCATTCAAGATCATGACTTCATTCAGTTGATTCTACATGCTAAGTTTTGATTACGAAATTATTTAGAATTCTTTGTTCATGTCTGTAATATTGGTTAGGTTTCTCACTTACTGTTGTTTCGGATGACACAAGTTGCCCATTTGATTCCGCTTGTCTTTTTATTATGGACTACCGATACACCATATTTAAGAAAACTAACACGGTCATGGTTTCTTGTTATTGTTGTATTTTGAAGGCCTTGGAGCAAGTGTAGATACTAGAAAATGAAACACTTTGAAAGAAACAAGGTACTCATGTGATTTAAAAAATATTTGTGAAACATGGAGTGCTTTTACGAGTACCTTATAGTCATCATGGCACCAGTAGACGGTAAATCTATTATGTTCATGGGGATGAGCAGCTTTCCAGTACAGTACTGTGGATGTTTCATTAGTGCTGACCACAACTGCAGGAGGTGGCAATACTAGTTTAAGGAAATTAAAATACATAATTTTAGTATAATTTGAACATTGGTTCATTATTCTTCATTGTTCAGATATGAATGTTATCATTTCTAAAACAAATTTATTTTAAAACGTAGAAAGAAAAAAATTAAAATATATCTTCAAAGATTTTCTCATCCATTTGTTTCAGAACAGGCAAGTAATGTTTATTTGAATATAAAGGATGTCATTATACAAAAAGTACACCTGGCCTACATGTGATATCTTTACAGGTGTTGGATTTCAGTAAAATTAAATATTTACATTGATCTTCAGTAGGAATCTTAATGACAGCAAAATCTCGTGATATTCCGATTTCATTTTGTGACCAAATTCTCGCAGTAACTTCCTGTTGTGCAGGAACTTTAAATCGGACAGAACTGAGTTCTGTCTCCATGGTGCAGTTCTTGAGTTTCCGAGACTTCACAAGAGGGCAAATTGAAACAAGGTATTGTAAATGAGATCCATAAATCCTTTGTTTTCGTATATCCTGCAAATTATCGAAAACATAAGCCGACCATAATTGTCTGGTATATGAGAGAGATATTCTTACATCAAAAAGAGTTTATCCCTATCCCTGTGGACAATTCAACAGAGGTGAAAAGTAACGTACCTGCCAAAAAATCATTATATCCCTATATTCGTCACGTCCACGTGGAAATACAGTGAAAGAATTAGACTTAACAATTGGTGGAAGACCAGGTGCTGAAGAATAAAAGAGAATCTGGAATGTGTACGAATTCATTAGTTTACCCAAAGATATGTTCACCAGTGTTTAAAGCATAAGAGAAGCTCGAGTCGGTTTTGAAAGGAATAAGGCCATCACTCAAGCAGAGTGTTCCATCATTCAAAGGATAGAGTTTCTATAAGTTTTAATTTTGGGAGTTATTAACTAGCATGCATAAAACAAAAAAGCAAGGAGAAATGAGATTAAAATAATAAATCTTTTCTTGGACACAAAAACATATATTAGTACACAAAATCTACATTCCTTGTAACTATATTGCGATAGTATTAAGTTTTATTTGCCTGCTTTTGTTGTTGTCACTGTGACAGACCGATTATCACTCCAGATTCCTCCTTCCAGCGGTAAAGCTGCTATCTTAATGAGGTATTTTGTATAAGGTATCAAACCACAAGCATCTAGCTTTGTCTCGCTGATTGTCCAAGATCTTTCCTTCAACCAAATTCGAAACATTATGGATTTTTTTTTTCATCACTGTCTCATTTCTAAAGAAAATTTCAGACAGAAGCAAGTTGGCATATTCTAAATAATTTCACACCAGCTAAAAACAATTTTATTTTTTATTACATGTATATGGTTCGAGTTTATAATATCAAATAATTATAAATAAGTACTACACTTTACACCTGTCATATTTTTTACGCTTACAAATTCCTGTTGATTGCCACCAGAGAGAGGTATAAATACAACGTGGTATAGCTTTGGGTACAGAATCCGGAGGTATTCCTGACCATGGAACCACTGAAGACTAACACAGGAGGGAGTAGTATTGGTGACAGCAATGTCCTCCACTGGGGGAAGTTTGACTGAGGAAAAGTGAAAATTCACGTGGCAACATTATTTTATTGATTTATTTATTTTTGTAATAAATTTTGGTAATGAGGACAGTCTTCTTTATTGAAGGTATGTTTGGAATAAGATAAAATAAATTTTATAATTTATTAGCAATTGATTAATACATGTGGGTCAAATGCTGATTCCACAATCTATAATTATCACCTATAAGTGCGTGAAATAGTATAAATAATCACTACACTATTCCCTCTTTCAGGGTTTATAAAGAGATTTCATTACAAAAGCTGAAATAAAACAGTCAACATTGATTTTAGTGTTCGATGAAGTATCGTTCGCTTGCATTAATTAATTCAATAAGTACTTCATAAATGTAATGAAGGTATTTGCATGGTTGTAGACCATGAAATTGTCAAATGAACAAACACACACGCACACTATAAGGAATACACAACCAATATTGAAGTGAAAAGTAAAGAATCTTAACACGCAGACCGCGTGGGTTGGACTCGACTTCGTGATAAAAAGAGACAAAAATAATTTTTAAGGGAGTTACATTTCAATTAAATATATCATATTTATTGCGTACAAAACTTCGTCATACGTGTTTATAGAAGAAGAAGAAAACGTCATTTTTAAAGCAGTTTTGAGATTGTGACCGATCCATGATCTTTTACCTTGAAAATAGTTTAGTACTTGAGAACGACAGAAATTCCATAATGTTTACTTCTGATAGGCAGAACAAATAATCATTTAGTCATATATTTAAGTCCCATTTCCTGCAAATAATGGATTTTTTTTTCAATTGTTAATCATGTATTCTCCAGTATTTTTCTTTTAGCGATATAAAAGACATTCCATTTTTTTTAAATTTATCTAGCGGGTTTTTGGTACAAGATTCTTTTAAAACTGAACTTACTTAAGAGGTAGATACAAAATGAATTGTAATCAACTGCATTGAAAATTTCAGGATAAGAATCACGCGTTTTAAATGAAGCATAACTAGCATTCATTTGAAAAGCAAAAGAACTGAAGCAACAATATTCAGGTATATCTGTAAAACAAACAATCAGTGGGGGTATTGCAGCATAATTGCGTGTCAATCTTGTGACGTGAGAAGAATTAATATTTTCTCTGTGAACCTCGTCACTCCTTGAGGAAATAGAAAAATCGGAAAGGTTGTTGACACATTGAAAGTCTTCCAATCAATCCGCTGAGCAATAAAGCCCCCAGAGCCACAGAGATTTTATGAGGATCACTGCCTGGACTCAAGAACATGCTTCTTTTCATTTAATTTTTGCCATGGGGGACTTTTTCCTCATCAGATACAATTTCCCACATCCTAATTATCCATAAATTGTACATTGTGTACATCCAAATTACACATAAATTGTGAACATCAACCAATATGTCCACCGGGAATAAAATCGTCAAAAAGGCAAAAAATGAGAGAATGTTTCCAAGAATGTAAATACATTGAAGTGTATTTTTCAGCTTTTGTGCACATTTTCTCTATTGGTACCTCTGAAATCTGAAGAGCTGACAAAAAATGGTAATAACAGTGCAGAAAAATGAAATTGTTAGACCTAAGATATTTATACGATAGAATAGATTGGTAATTAGGAAACTTTTTAGATTGACAATTAGAAAAAATTATCATGTAAGATACAAAAACTGTATTCTTAAGCTTTTCGAAGAAAAGTAAAAAAAATCATTTTGTCATTATGAACTTCAAGACCTAAGAAAAACAATAGAGAACTTGCCTGTTTCCTGACAACGAACTTCTTGGCACGTGTTGAACAAGCTAACACAAACATCAATGACGCAATGCGGGTCCAAATCACCAAGCGTCATATCCCATCTACAGAAACTCTGTGTCAGGATCGGACAATCAAACGAACTGGACACCAAGTGACCAAATATCAAACTCCTGTAAATAAATATTCATAATTTTTTTAATAATGCATATAAAACGTTTACTTATGAATTTTATCTACAGTGAATTAATTCAAATGTACTGAGAGTACTGTAGATTCTTCAGGAAACAGTAAATCTGGTCTCATAAAAAATGGGATCTCGTATAAATCCTGTAACAATACGAATCATGAACAGGGCAAAAATAAAGACCACTACAAGCACCAGAGATGGGATAAGGTGCCGAGGAGGAGTAAACATCCCCTGTCGACCGGTCACACCTGCGCCTGAGTGCTTTGTATTGTCTGATCAGGTAATCCGTAAACAAATTAAGTGTAAAAACATGGTATGGAACATATCAGTCAAAATAAGACCCAAATATAGGTTGCATTTGAAAACAAGGTCATTATATTGACCATTGAATTTGCGAGATGCTGACTTTAAAAGAGATTGTTAAAAACTGTAACATCAACTTATTTGTCAGCAGCCTACCTCGGATTAAAAATTGATAGTACTCAGAACATGCTTTTGCCTATCGAATCAGTTGGGAGACATAAAAACCATATGCAAGTGATACTGGAAGCTTACTGCAAAAACGGGGAAGCTGAAGTCGAATATGAAGTTGGAAAAGTTGAAGTCATCACGTTTGTCATATAGTTTAGTAACTGTTATTAGTAGGCCATGAACATCTATAGTTAGTAAAACATCCAAATACTTCACCATAAACAGATGTAGCAGACTCTGCGGTGTCTTTTATTTCGATTTCAATGGGATATATTTTGAGTCAGCATATGAATGAAAATAACTATCGTTAATTGATAAAACTTTGTCGATATATCTGATTGAATGCCTCAGCAAGAGTTTTCTTTTTCTCATGTAGAAATTTTTTTTTTAATAAATTCTGCTACATAAGAATAGAAACACAGGTCAGCTAACAGAGCACAATTAGTGCCCACCATAATTTCAACAGATTATTGGAAACCTTGTCTTCAAAGACTACAAAGATATTGTCAATGAGGAAGTCAGTTTAATACCAACTGCAGAGTACTGTGTGTAGAATCAGGATGATTTTGATAAAGGAACTCTATAAATGAACACTCCCAAGATAAAAATTCTGAGTTCCATTTTTATTGAAGAAGATGTCAAAAAGTCTGGTATTTAATATATTTCGAGGAATGGTTGTATAAAGCGTAAAGATGCCATACGTTGTTTTACTTATGATTGGGGGGGGGGGGGAGGGGGTATTAAAAGTAATAATTTGTCATTTGGTTCTCTGCAATATGTAACTGCCTTTGATTTGAAATTGCTATTTAGATAATGGTTGAACTCACTTGGGAAACGGAGAAAATCTTGCTCTGGTACACTCGCAAACTTATCTTTCTATGCATCTATTGGGATTCGATATTCATGCTTCATGATTCATTCTAAATAGATCAAAACACAATGTGCGAGCATACTAAAAAGAAGCTATCCACACAAGAGATGAAATGCAACTGATAGTCAATAAACGTCTTAACGGGTCCTCAGCATTTACACTATATGATGCTAAATTTAATTATAAAGCACACAATGCGAGCACTTTATTTAAAGATGAAAATACGACACAAATAGCAATAATGATGGCGCTGTTCTCTTTATATATTTTAGGGCTTTGTCAGTATATTGTTGAAGCTTGTCTTTCAAGCTTACTTCTATAAATACACTGGAAATATAAGTTTGCAACTAGGTTAGAAAGAACTAGCCATTCAAAACCTGGACCAAGCAACAGATAACAGAAATGGTTGAATGTGCTTGAAATATTTTCTTTCGTCTTCGACTTTGAAACGTAAATGAATATGAAACCATCCTACATTTTGTGTGCGCGAGCGTTTCAGATCACTCAGGGGCCCTATTCAAATGTTTGTTATTGAGTCGTGTAGTTTTCCGTCGTCCATCTTTAAATCTTTACCCATGGGTCCCCAGGATTGAGGTGAATTCTAAATTGGCTTTATTTATTGGGATATTTTTTTCGTACTTGAGACATCCATAATATATCTTATGAATATCCTATGTACTTCTTGACTTTAAGAAAAAACGTTTATGCTTCAGGGTTTGGTTAGCTTGCAACTATGCTGCAAATGCATCTTCCAACATATTCTTTTCTCCTTTATATTTAGGAGATAAACACCTTTCTTTCTTTATACTGAGCGAAAAGCCCTCAACCAAAACTGAAATATACGTATATCTCCTGTTAGTCAATTAGAGGATGCTGAGCTTATACCCAAAAAAGGGATGGAGACAGGTCATCCAGCAACTACCAATGATATAAATAACCACCAATGATATAATAACCACTAATGATATAAATAACCACCAATGATATAATAACCACCAATGATATAAATAACCACCAATGATATAAATAACCACCAATGAATTAAATGACCACCAATGATTTATTAACCACCAAAGATGTAACCAAGAATGATATAATAATCACTTATAATTGAATCTAATAACCACCATTACTTAATAACCATTAATTATATAAAACAAAGATTGATTCAATACTTATAATCACCAACGATTTAATACTAATAATTACTCATGATATAAGAACTACCAATTATCTAACGTTAATAATAACCATCAGTGATATAATAATTACTAATGATACAGGTCGAGTGAGCAGAATGGTACGTATCCCACAGATGGAATCATACAAACGCTTTGCTTATAATGTAACGACCATTTAATTATTTTAAAAATTGCCATCTACTGATAAAATTCTTAACTGATATAGGTAGTAAACATCTTTGTTGTTTGATACAATGCAAAAGAGCTACTAGAATCGCATCGATTTGGATGAAAAATGTTTTTAAATACGTTTTTGCACAATATTTAGACGTGCAATGTGTATTTTGTTGGAAAAGTGTGTGCGATGCAATATTTATCACAGAGATCTAAAACTTAAAAAATTAAACCCCCCAAAAATGCATTTAAATGAGATAGGTTTTACAGTCTTGATATTGGACTTAAGAGTAGCAAGGTAATTACAGGTAACTATGATGGGTTTTTTCTTAGATACTGAACACATTAGTAAAAGGATGGGCTCAACATAAAGTTACAGATGTGTATTGTTTAACTAAATGTGCCAAATAGTAAAATTTTACCCTTTTGCTTTCTTAATGCAATATAAAGTTATTTGAATAAACTGTGAGAATTCTAGTATCTGATTGAAATGGAATAAGATTGGCACGATGAATTCAACTGATATAAATTGATGAAAGTTTCTTTCAACTGAAATCTGGTCGCGCATTTCTTTTAAAGCACTCCCAACATTGATCTGAATATATAAGCATTTATTATTGAATATTTTATGGCATTATAGACCACTTTAAGAATATTTCACAACTATCTGATTTTAAAAATAAAGTCATGGCCGTAGGAACCGGGGGGGGGGGGGGGGGGGCACGGAGGGGCGTGCCCCCCCTCCAATAATTTTGCCGATATATAGAATACTATAGAAAACATAGCTACTATATGCTTGTGACCCCTCAATAATAACGTGTGATGACCTTCTTTTTTTTTCTTTTTTTTTTTTTGCTTGTCAAGGAATTTTGGTGGTTGATAGTACCCCCCCCCCCCAACTGAAAATGTATGGTTGTGCCCCCTTAAAGTGAAATTGCTTCCTACGGGCCTGAAAGTGGCCACTTGTTCAGGTGAATTTCGATTTTATACATCATATTTCACTTCATTTAAATCCCCATACTTTAACCTCAGAATATATTTACTTAGCTGTTTTATTGAGGTGAAAATCAGCAGATATATATAGCTCTGTGTGTGCCTAAATTTGAGATTCTGATGACAAAAATAGACATTACAATATACCATGTCACGGTAACGTTGGATGTGCTCTCGTCTTTTGTAGAGTTCCAATAGCACTGGAGATATTCATCGTAGTTGTAAGTGAAACATGTGACGTCATCACCTGACAACAGAAGAAAACATTAAAAGAGGAAATACTTTACATTTGCTGGGCAGATCCAAATTGGTAAAACTTTAAAACAAGCTATATGGCATCATATCTAATTTTTCTACTTACTTTTTACAAGACCTGGCAGAAGCAAAACAAATATGAGCTGAATAAGTGTCCAAGTGTTCATTTCGGGTAGCTATCATCTCGAAAATTTATAAATCCAGAAAACATACAGTTCACAACTATATCTCCATAACTCGATCCTTTCCCTAAGTTCTCAGTCTGAGCTTTATTCTTTGTTCTTATACAAATGTCGAGATTGAATTAGGAGGAAAACTGAACTTTAAACCTTTTTCTGGCATTTAAATATTTTTTTCATTGACTAAAGAAATCTGTGAATTATGAATTTGATGTCTATTGATTAATATAAACTCATACAGAATACACACGGTATGTATTATAACGACTACACCCACCGATTTTATATGCTGATCAATATATAAAATCATTTTCTAAAGAATTTTTTTTTCATGGATCAGTAACAGAGACTAAAATATGGGGTAGCTACGTAATAATTATATATTAGGTCGAAGAGCAGAGGGGAAATGAGGGCACGTACAAGAAAGATCTTTTCTTTCGAAGGGAGCTATGGTAATTGTTGCTCTCTTATTTTGTGTAGAAAATCGAAACCTGCCAAAACAGCAGTAATTCTGAGGCATCTCAGGGGAAGCTTTGTTAGGAACTACAGTCTGTAACCTTCTTGGGAATTTGAGAGCCATTTTTCATTCAAGTTGCTGAAACTATGTAGATAAAACACCGTTAGCACTGTTCTATCCTTTTCTGATTTCTGGAGGCAATGGAACAGAGATACATCAGAAATCTATCGATTGAAATGGTCGTTCTACAGAAGGGGCATGTTCTGTGGATATCCATGATCCTGCAAAGATTTTGCTGTTGTAGTAACGTTGAAGACTAACTCAATTTAAGCAATTTAGGAGCAATATGCACAATATATAATTGGTTTTAGTTTAGGATGAGGAATATTCCAGATTGCGGAAGACAAGCACGCATAAATGAGATAACTTTAAGAATATCCGATATAGTAGATCATTAAGACTGAAATATATCGAATTGCTTTGGTAGCTTTTAATGGCATTCATTTTCTTTCATGAGAATATTTTTTTTTTTAAATTATTGAAATAGGAAAAAGAATTAAAACAACCATTACTCTACAGATCTACACCTAAAATGCCTGTAAATATTTATATACAGGTATAATTGTGTAGTGAACTTTCCTAGCAATTCCACTTTTGTTATTTCACAGTAGAATGCATGGTACATACTAGTAGCATTTTGCCACGTGTGTAACCTACTTTTGATACATTACGTGTGTATTTTTCTGACCGATATCATAGTCCTATAGGTTAACAGATACATGTAAGTACAAGCTTAAACAGAAAGGTAATGATTGAAGCTATTTTTTATTGTGGTGTTCATTAGACACGGCTGTAGATCCAGAGACACAAATAATTAGATAAGTAATTATCAATACTATTACTGTCTCTGACAATAATGGTTAGGTCGCCAAACACACAGGGTACGTCCTGCAACACAACAATGCAAAATTTACATAATCTTCAAATATTTGCGAATTATTTGAGTTTATTGGTAAACCATTCGTGCTCCTCCTTCGATAACATCATCTAATTCATAGCAAATGAGATGGAAATTGTTCCAATTTTTATCTAAAGAAAAAGGCAGTGGCTTTGACACTTGCATTGTTATGTCCTGTAATATACCAAAATATGGAACGAAGTATGCACGAAATATGGCAATATGATTATGTAACTCAAAATTACAGTAATTACAAAATTCTTCATTTTGTTTTCTTGACTCTAACACCAAAGACCCAACCCATCCTCTAAGTTCACACTCTGTAACTCAATCCGTTGTCCCAGGTCAACAGGATATGGGAAAAATATGCATTCTGACCCAGCTTTGTCAAATCCTTTCAGACTGAATCCCGTGTAATCACAATATTTAATGACTTTCTTTAAAAATACATTGATATCTAATCTTTTGCCAATCCAGGGTTCTTTTGGTTTATTTGGAAAGAGATAAACTGACTGATTGATCGCATAAATAAAGCTAGTCAGAATTTTTTCACCGAAAAAACATTCGTATCTGATATCTGTATTAAACGATTTATTTTATTTCTTCTCTTTCTCTCTCATGTATGAACAGGAACAGAATAAAGGTGACAATTTAATTTGCACAAACCTTTCTGTTGATTTACCTATGAAAATGTAAGTTAATCCACCCAAAGATTACGAGGGAAATTCTTATTGACAACGGCGTATTACAATACGTCACTATATTGAAATAAAAACAATACTTACAAATGTCCATGCCATAAGTTTCCTGCTGAAAGGGACATTTAAATTTTATATGTATTGTTCTAATTTTTTAAAGTAAGTTATTGGTCTATTTTGATAGTTACGGTTCAGTTAAGTCAACTCCAACGTCATGTTGTAGACTCATCTTATTTAAATGTTTCATGTTTGTTTGTTTGGTTTTTTTAATCATATTTTCCGTGTAATAAATTCCATTTGTGTTTTAATTTTAGAACCATAAAAAAATCCTAAGTAATATATATCGAAACAGTACCATGAAATGAAATAGGGTATTGATTTGTTAAGCGTTGTAATATATGATTAATGTCATTACATCACAGTCAGATTAAAGAACAATTACCTGGTATATATTGTTATTTTTTCCTTATATGAATTCCAATGGAGATTAAGGCTAATGACCATTAAACATTCTAAATGATCTTAATTTAGCGCTGGTTTTATTAAGCTTCTTTATTTTCAGTATATATAGCAGTTGACATGTCTAATTTAGAGTCTGTATATTCTTTAGGAATTTTGCAGCTAGTATTTATTTGGACAGCAGAAGATTAGGCATTTGTAATAGATCGGTGTAGACATGTCGACGCAGAATCGAGTGTATTCCAAATTACTTAGCTCATTGAAGCACTTTGTCTACATTTTATGATTATGAGAGGTGCAGAAGTCAGACTTGAACGTTATATAACTGGTTACACAGCATAGAGCTGACAGTTTATAGAAAGTATGAGATAATCAGACAAAACTAGAAAAAAAAATCACTTAATGTCTCATACAACTTGTTCTGGAGAAAAGAAGAGGACCATGGACCAAAACTCGCACCTGCGTCAACTTTATCAATGACTGAATGTACTTTACGGATGTCGAATGTTTGTTTGACAATTAAACAAATATAATGCTTTTTATACTTGAAAGAGTTTTTACCTTTTACATATATATGCGTCTCAATACTCCTCTGAACATGGTTTCGTTTTTCTCTTTTAATTTTACCACTCTACCTGCTCATAGAGAGTGATTTTGAACCAAATTAAATATGTTCTGCATGAGAGTGTTTGAATTATATGACAAATTGTAACCTTTCTAACCTTGAGAAAAATGTGTTTTAATATCTACATGTATATTCCTTATGGCACTGAGTGCAGCATTTAACATTCTTCTAGCTTATGGTTACTTGCCTTTTAATAACAAAATCATTCCCCTTGATGTTAGAAGAAATCATTTAATTCATTGAATTTAAAATCTTAAGGCACCCTCTCCCAACCTCTTTCAAAGATAGTAACTACAAATCGGTCTGAAACTATGAACACTTTTTTGATATAACTTGGTGAGGGTTTCGATATTTAAACAAATTTGCAATTCATGTAAGAAACTTTTCACTTCTATTTTTATTTATAGCTTTGCTGTTCTAAAGAACACAGTAACTCTGCTCTGTTTTAGATATTCATCCGATAAAACCTGATGACCCTTAAAGATGCTTGTGTCTCAATGGTTAAAACTGTGGTAACTTAACGACCAACCGGTGACAAATGCCCGACAGACTTCTTATCTAGTCTTTTAGGTCTCGTAAGCATATAAGAAAGAAACAGAGGATCCGTTTTCAACAAGTAACTGTTTATATTTTTCATGAAATTGCGTTGAGTAAAAGCATAAAATGTGCAAATTCTTTTTGCAGCATATGCAAGTCGAATTGAGATGTGAAAACAATCGATGCATTGTGTACATATAAACGGGATACAAAAGCTCTACAAGTACTTCAGTTCTCCATCGTTATCAGAAGTAGAGCACTAAAATCAAGAAGTGTCCAGTAAATTGAACTCTGGACATCCTTCTGCTCTGCTGATAAACAACTCGATCAGTCCCGTGACAAGTTTTTCACATGTTCACAAGAAAGGGCACAGGGGACAAAATTAACGGAAACACTTCAAATTTCATGTTAATAGGGGAACCATTCCAAATTAGTTTTAAATGCATGAAATTTAAGGCTGTCGAGGAGGAGTCTATAGAAAAATAGACGTGGTACGCTCGTGTGGTTTCCATTCATGGTAGGGAATCGTTTAAATTTATCTACGAAGATCTAGCCACCAATTGTTTTGCAGTCTATCAGTATATACCTTTAATGTAACAGCGGTTTATTCAAGTCAACAGTATTGGAGAATATTACCTGCTTGATGAACTGACATGCCAAAAATATATAGCGATCTATTACCAATCACTGTGTAAATAGAACCTGCTAAAGTTTACCGCTATAAATTCTTGGATCCATATGTCTGTCAAACATTCGATAAAATTGATCTTCGGTAGGTCAGTGATTATTAAATACCTTAAAGTTTTAATCAGAGAAACGACGCACAGTTTAAGATCGACTTGAGTGATAATTCTGTTTGAGAGTACTGTAATGCTATACTCGCAGGACTGATTGTTTCAAAGCACTGGCTTACTAGTTCCGCCATTCTAATAATACCGAAATTATCTATTTCTTACGCGCGTGAATAATTGAAGTATAGAATTGAGAGAGGTTTTTTTTTTTTTCGATAAATGACGAGAAATTTCTTCGTCAATATGGCTAGTGATTTCGTATATGGAAATGCTTAAATATTTCCTTTGCTGGAATTAAAGGAAATATCATTCATTCTTATTTTGTGTTCAATTGGTCTAAAATCAGTGTTCATTGGATATAATTACATAGCTAGAATAACCATGGAGACAGAAGCGTTAAATAATTCTATAGACAATTGCCAAGAAAACAAAACAAGTCAGTTAGATCATCTTCACCTGGAGTTCAACATCTTGAAAATGGCAAAACTTTCAATTCCAAGTGGTTC